GAACGGAAGGAAGGATGGAAGGATGGAAGAATGAAAGGATGGAAGATGGATGAATGGATGGAAGGATGGATGGCAGGATGGCAGGATGGCAGGATGGATGCCTGGAAGGACGGAAGGACGGATGGACGGAAGGAAGGACTGAAGGACGGAAGGAGGGAAGGATGGAAGGATGGAAGGATGGAATGATGGAAGGATGGAAGGATGCAAGGATGGCAGGCTGGATGGATGGAAGGACGGAAGGATGGAAGGATGGAAGGATGGATGGACGGATGGACGGATGGAAGGATGGATGGAAGGATGGAAGGATGGATGAATGGATGGAAGGATGGATGGAAGGATGAAAGGATGGAAGGATGGATGGATGGAAGGATGGATGAATAGATGGAAGGATAGATGGCAGGATGGAAGGATGGCAGGCTGGATGGATGGAAGGACGGAAGGGCGGATGGACGGAAGGAAGAATGGAAGGATGGAAGGATGGAAGAATGGAAGGACGGAAGGATGGAAGGATGGAAGGATGGAAGGATAAATGGATGGATGGATGGATGGATGGATGGAGGGATGGATGGATGGAGGGAGGCAGGAAGGGAGGGATGGAAGGAAGGGAGGGATGGAAGGATTAAAGGATGAAAGGATGGATGGAAGGATGCAAGGATGGAAGAATGGATGGAAGGATGGATGGCAGGGTGGAAGGATGGAAGGATGGAAGGATGGAAGGATGGAAGGATGGATGGAAGGATGGAAGGATGGAAGGATAAATGAATGGAAGGATGGATGGCAGGATGGAATGATGGCAGGATGGATGGATGGAAGACGGAAGGACGGAAGGACGGAAGGACGGAAGGACGGAAGGACGAAAGGACGGAAGGATGGAAGGATGGAAGGATGAGAGGATGGAAGGATGGAAGCATGGAAGGATGGAAGGATGGATGGAAGGATGGATGGAAGGATGGAAGGATGGAAGAATAAAAAGAGGGAAGGATGAAAGAATGGATGGATGGATGGATGGAAGGACGGAAGGATGGAAGGATGGATGATGGAAGGATGGAAGGATGGAAGGATGGATGGAAGATGGATGAATGGATGGAAGGATGGATGGCAGGATGGATGGCAGGATGGAAGGATGGATGGAAGGACGCATGGAAGGACGGAAGAACGGATGGACGGAAGGATGGAAGGACGGAAGGATGGAAGGATGGAAGGATGGATGGATGGAAGGGTGGAAAGGTGGAAGGATGGATGAATGGATGGAAGGATGGATGGAAGGATGGAAGGATGGAAGCATGGAAGGATGGAAGGATGGAAGCATGGAAGGCTGGAAGCATGGAAGGATGGAAGGATGGAAGGATGGAAGGATGGAAGGACGGAAGGACGAAAGGATGGATGGATGGCTGCAAGGCTGGAAGGATGGAAGGATGGATGGATGGATGGAAGGATGGAAGGATGGATGGATGAGGGGAGGGATGGAGGCTGCACGGGATGGGATGCAAGTTTACAGGGTGATTTAGTGTTTGGGCGAGCCAGGCACAACTCACACCATTGAATCGTTGCCGCCGTAATGCTTTTGAGCACAGGAAATCCATCCAGCACGTGGAGTAACTATGAGGCTCAACTGAGCCAGACTCGTCAAAGGTCACCTGCGTGGCAGGCTGAACAAAGCTTCTGACTGTGATCACGCCAAACCCCCAATGATCCCAGCAAGGCTTCTAAGATCAAACATCCGCTACTTCCATCGCACCCTGCAGCGAAACGGCAAGAAACGATTACTTCTGAAAACGTCACTCAAACTGTAAGTAATTGCACTCATCCAACACTTGATAGACAGCGGCCCCCAAGCTGTTGCCATGATTGCCAACGCTATTGCCATGCCCTTGGGACGAATGCCACGCCCCACTTTGTCACCAAAGTCCGAACACACGTAGAATGGATCAGCCATATCATATGAAGGGAATGTGGCCACAATCAAAAAGGGAAACACCCGGGAGGCCCCCTCTGTATAGAGCTCGAAGTATCCCCTGATCTCCACTCACCAGTCAAAGGCTCCGGGAAGGAAACACGGGCTGCTCCAAAGCCAGGCGCAAAAAGCACTCAACTGTGAAAACAATTATCAACCCGCCTGGTGGTTTACTCAACTTTTGGCTCGGACGATCCTGACAAACATGTACACCCGCTAACGTGTATTACGTGGAACGCCCTTCGCCCATGCTTGCCAACCAGCAGTCGTAACCCTTCAGACATCCAGTGCTGCAGGGCCATAAGCAAAGCCTTGTTCAAGCCAAGCGATCCTTCCCCCCCCCCCCCGGAACCCCTTTCCGGAAGTTGACGTGGCCATGCCCTTCACCGCCGGCCTGGGTCGTGCGGCTGAGGGGAAACTACAAACAATAAGCTTCCGAACGACCTCGCCCTACTTGATCCGCAATTGTGTCGCAATTGTCCTCTTTGAAAGGGAGACAAGGAAGCACCATAAAACCAACCAGAACATGACTCCAGGCAACTTGGACCCAACCTCAAGTTCCGGTTCGGGCTTGGGTTAGGGGTATGCGATACTCCATGAGAAATGCAGCCAGGGAACAACAAAGATAATATGTGATTGGAATTTCACACCATGCCTGTAAATCAACAAAATCAATAATACATGCCTGCCTGTCAAGTCGGTCTGACACTAATCGTCGGACAATGCAAGACTATGCTGGGCAGCGTGACAAGACTTTTCTTCCCATCCCCCTCCTGCCCCATCTCTCGCAAGGGGGACTCAAAAGAACATCAATCAGTCATGATGCCACATCACCAGGCGTCCAAGCTTGCATTGACACCTGCCGCGCGCAAAACATGCTCACCCATGGACCCATGGTATCTCTTCTTTTCGTGCGGTCGCCAGCTGCGTTTCACCGGCAGGCTGCACGTTGCAAGCGCCCACGCCTGAGGTCGCTGCCCCGTACGCTGGTTGCCTCTACCGTACTGCCAGCAAACCAACCACAAGCTATGGGGCAAACATCTTTGCCTTTTTGCAGCCCCATATCAAAAATGAAAAATGAAGAGAACCAAGCACCAGCAAAAAAACACAAACTTGACCCAAGAAGAGTGAATTCAGAGGGGGTCCAACTTCTTCCCACTGACCGTGACCCTGGCTTCCTGGGCCAGAAATTGGCCATCTGGAAGGACGGACAAGAACTCGCGGTGAATGGCCATGGGAACGACAAACTTGCTTGTTTCTGATGGAAAGCCAACTCAAGCCACAAGAAGCAAAGGCCGGAATCCGTCAGTCATCGCTTTCAAGAGGGCGGTGGCGTTGCAGTAGAAACCTACATTCCACTGAGCAGGGATGGTCCTGATTCCAAACAAATGACATTCTAACTCCACGGATCGATCGTGAGTTCAGACGGCGTGAGTCAGCACCAAGGCAAATTTGCGCAAAAGTCATCAACGCCCAAAAATAAGAGCTAAGATTGGGCCGCGAAACATCGAGTCCAGCCGCCTGGAATTGCAAGACGCTTGCCTTCCCAAAAAGGCAATGCGCAGCCAGCACAGGCAAACCTGGTTCACGTGCTCAAATACCAAGCCAACTTCCGGCAAGTCGACATAACCTTCAAAGGCTCCAGCATCCAGCGCTGGCTTCTTGCGCCCTGCAATCAGTAGCCCGCAATCCCTGCCAATCGCTGCAGCCTAGGCGCCTCTGTCATCCACCTTCAGCGAGAGCCCGCCTTCCCCCCCTGTAAAGCATTAGGCTTTGGAGACGTGGCCGCCACACTTTCCCGGCGCATTGGTCTGGGGATAACCCTTCGAGGGGAGTACTCCACGAAATACGCAGGTAGCAAAGAACTACACACATAATTTCTCAGCTGGCATAGAAACCGCAGGCACGCGCTATGGACTTGGGGGGTGGTATGCAAGTCTTGCACGCTAAGGCCGCTAAGCGATGGCGGTCTTGAAGCCCAAAGGGAAACCGCCCAGTCAGGAGGTCTGAAACGACTTGTCACGCAACAGTTCGGCGATTGAACAAAAAACACTCACCTGACACTAAGTCACATTGGAAACGCACAAAGTAGGCGGACTAGAGAAAATAAAAGAAAAGAAAAAAAAAAGAAGCACAAAACTTGGGCTCCGATCAACTATCTGCTCTTTCGGATACACTCCCTATTTGACAGCCAGGCCTTAAACACTAGCTGGACCCTTGGGCAGAACACTCCACTGAGTCACAATCCAAACCCAGTAGTAAAATGGTCTACCCAGAGCCATGTAAAGAATTAAGAAGGCGGCCGCAACTATTTCTGGCTGGGACTGCCCCTTACTGACCTTCATCTACCCGGGTTTTGATTGTGGCTCATCTCGGCCAAGCCGCATAGATGAGATATGTGACCCTGGAGCCTTTGTCCAGGCGCTGTCCCTCGGCGATGTCCGACTTTCCTCGGCTGGCGGCTGGACGCGCCCATTTTCGGTTCTTTGCGACATGCCCAGGCAGAGCACGTGGTGGCCGCAGACGTCTTCCTCACTGGTAAGCCAACCAAACTGCTTAGATTGTGGCAACTAGGTAGAAAGATTGTCGCGAAACCAAACTGCTAAACCAAACTGCTTAGATTATCGCGTGAGACTGGTTGCTAAAGAAACAAGTCTCAAACGAGCTTTTGTATCAGTATGGCGCTGTGCCCCGGGATTCGTCCATGTGGTTGTTTCTTTGATTTGCGACATGTGGTTTTCCTCTTGGCTCTGCGGCCATAGGCAAATAACCAAGTGGACAATGTCACGTTCATGCCCCTTTGTCCCAGGTCAACATTTGCGGAGCTTCCAGCTGGAATGATGCATCGCGCACTGCTTCTTCTTTTTCTCGCGCTAAAGGGCAAGTGCCACACGTGCCAATGTGAAGCCTGCAACCAAAAGGAGAAAAAACTAGCTATGTCCTCCTGAAGCCATTGTTTCGAAAATAATCACTAACCAATGTGCTGAAACACTAGACCACAGGGGAGGGGGGGTGATTTAGTGACACTGGCGCGTGTGTTTAGCCTCTATGTGTGTTGCCGGTGTGGGTCATCTCGTCGAGCCAGCAGAAAGCCCCGGATGGCGTCATCGAGGTTCCCGAGACCGCGCGCCGTGGCAGCATCGTCCAGGGCGCAGAGCTGACGGGCTGTCGCACGGACCTCCAGGGCCACATTTTACAAATGTGCTCAAAGCCTAAGGACCATAGTGCCTAGTAAACTCGTCTTACATTCAGAGCTAGGTTCATTCTCAGGGGACCCTCTGGTCATGGGGTCGTTTGGACCAAGGATGGATGGGTGGAGGAAAGCAAAAAGGTATGGGGCAGCTACATGTCCTAGGCCTCCATGGCTCTGTTTCAAGCGCGATCCACTCAAAGATGGCTTGATTCAGCCGATTCAGCCAAAATCGTGCAACGAAATTGGGCTTGACATGCTGACGTAGTTTGGTTTAACATGGCAGCTGAGCTGATAAGTTACGAGCTGTGGCGGTTTGTCTTCCCATCCATAGGGCGTTATGGAAGCCTCCCATGCCCTGCTTGTTGATGAGCGTCTTCCAAGCAAACAATGCAAGTGACCCTCGAGTTGAAGAGGCGCATACACCCGACAGGTCCTAGCTGCCGGCCCGCACGGAGGTTACCTCTAAGGGCCTGAGTAGATGGCCCACGCTGCTTACCACCCCTGTGCCATTGTTCGTTTACTTGGCGTGAGGCTTTGTTGCGGTTTACTTAAGAATTGATCGTGGTTTTGTCGCGACCTTTACTTGCCAGAATTGCTCCAACGTTCACCTATTCCCCTTTGAGGCCCAACCCTTCGACTCGTTGTTCCGGCCCTCAGGCGTGCCTTGGCACGTTTTCGCGACACCCAAGCGATCAAGGCGGTCCTCACCAGCATGGGTATGACTGAGCAATGCAAGCCAAACCTGGCTAAAATCAGAACTAGGCATCCCCTTGTGGAACATGGCATCCTAAAAACAGGCTCCCACAGAACTTCTTCCTTTAAGGCCAACTTGTTGGGTTCCATGTGGAGCCCGGTCGCCCAGTCATTATGGTAAGGCAAGAATTGGAGTCGTTTTCCATGTTGGGCCAACATGTCTGCCTTTTCCTTCTGGGGTTGATTCTATATTTACTGGCCTGCTGAAACAAGAATTGAAACATTTCCTGTGTGATGATTCAATTTTCAATGGCGCGCTAAAACAACAGCTAACTTTTCGGGGCTGGTTCCATTGTTAGTGCATACTAATACAAGAATCGGAACCCCTTCCCCTTCCGGGGTTCGTTCGGCTTTGAACACGTTCGGAGCACACGGAACCAAAACACAAGATTAGAGAGTGGAGTTCATGAGCAACCGGCCAAACCATGTGAATACACACCCGGCCTTTAAGAGGGAGGCCCATCTGCTGAGTGGCCGGTGTGTCTAAAGAAAGAATCTACCAAAAAGAAAAGAAGGAAGAAAAAACCAAAAATAACGGGACTACTTTGCCACTATCACAGGAAATCGCAACGTGAGCCCCCAATTTACCGCTACCATCTGGGCAAACTATAGTATAACACCCAAGCTGGAAATACAAGAACAAACATGAATAAGGTGCTTTCATCATGAATTTTGGCACGATTCACCGCTGGATCCGGTAAGCTTAGTATAACTTCCCCTCAGCCATGTGCAAAGTAACATACCCTCAAACCTGAAAAACATAAATATACCCAACATTATTGTGGCTTACTCCCTTTTTCCAGGGTAGTTACTCCCTTTACCCACGGTTGAGGGTTGCAGCTGAACTGCGGCTTGAGTGTCAGGAAGCTGGTGGGCAGCCTGCGGCGTGCCACCAATAGCTCCAGCACCTCGAAGGGGTCCTCGAAGTGCTTGGGGGCCTCCTCCCCAAGCGCCTCCGGGAACAACCACAGGGATCCTTACATTATACACCTGAACATTGCCGTGTACATGGTGGTTCCCCTTTATTTTGGTGGAAAAGGCCATGTCTCAAATTGGCAAAATGTATCTTTTAAGGAGCCCTGAACCAGCTGACGGACAACATGGACCCTGAGTTCCGCTTGAGACGTCAAACCAGGCAAAACTGTGCTTGACTACTCCGTGCTGGCTGATGCGATAGAAGCTCAAACCGATCAAACTGCAGTCACCCTTCCTGTTTCGTGGGGATTCCCCCTTCAACCTGGGAGCGAGAGCCTCAAGCCCAGGCCAGCATGTAAAGCATTGTCACTTAAAGTCTAACAACCCCAAACTTGCCGGGCGGGGGATTTCAAGCAAAGTGTCGGCTCTTTTTCCTTGGCCCAATCCTTATCTTATCTGACTTGTGCTTTGTCAGACTAAACCTGGGGATGGGCCTCAAACAATCTGAACTTGCTGTTTGCCGCATGATTTCCCCGAATCCAAAAGGAAACGCACGCAGCGTCACGCAGAAACAACTGGCTGAACGCCCGGCCGCTCCCTACAACAAAACGTGTGGTACTCGCTTAGCTACACGCTTGTGGAAGATATGTCTTATCGGCCATCTTGCCAACAGCATGGTTGTGGACAATGGCCTCTGTGATAGCAAAGTGGGGACCCCTGCGGTATCCACACCCCTTTAACGAAACAACAAGTGGCATTCCCATCCGAAACCCCTGCAGAAAGTTGGAATACACTTCGCTCGACTTCTCCAAACGCCACCTTTTGGCCCAAGAAACCAACCTTTACCAGACAAATAGATGCAGATCTAACCTGTGAAAGGGAACCAGTTGAAGGAAACTTGTTAAGTCAATCCTAGCGATACATCCATCAGCCTGACGCCTCCAGGCGCCACACCAAAGCCTCAAGAAGCTCGCTGGGCGGGTCCTTCGGGCTGGAAACAGCTTTGAGGCTTCAAACTGTGCGTTCTTTTGTCTGTCGTGTGTTGGTTGTGTTACCCCCACCAATTAACATGGAACCTGACACGCTGGGTCCTGGAACACCCTTGCAATGTTCCTGGCTAATTGGTGGGAGGGCTGATTCATTGTGTGGTGGGTTGTCGTTTTGGGTTCTACCCCAACCCCTTTGCGCGGAAGCGTCCACGGGCCGCTCTCCGAAACCATCTTCCCAAACCATCTGCCCACTTCCTGAGCCCAAAATCCGAACTGAAGTAACTCATCCATGGCCTTCTTAACACGGTATAGACCTTGAAGTGTCAATGGTCACTGTAATTTCCCGTTATTAACCGGATGACATTGGGTGCACTCAAATTATCATTCAACAAAATCAAAGGTGTCTCCCAGCATATGACCACCAAACCTGGTATTGCAAGGGGTTAAAGGGGCAGATTCTCAACCGTGGATTGACTATTGAACGTGGAAGGAACATTTTTGGGGGACTGACAAGATTATCAAAGGCACGGTAAATACAGCACGCCCTCACAGAGCTTCAAAACCACTGTTGCGAGTCGGAGCTTCCCAACAAACGAGGAGGGCTAGCCCGCTCACCTTGCAAAGCCCTTTAGCTTCCTTTGCCGAATGATGCTGGTAAAGCTAAAATCCTTGAAATGTCCTTGACAGCCTTTCGGCCCGTTTCCAGAAGTACAAAATAGTACATGCTCGTTTTCTCAAAATTGTTTCAAACCCACAAATGGGGGAAGTACTTAACAGTGTTCACCAGGCCCACTGAACAAAGTTCTCTGGCCTGCTCCACTCGCTCACCTTGACAAGCCTTTTTGCTGCTCAATGATTGGACAAAAAACAAGGGAACGAAAGAACGACCAATAAAACATTTGGCAATCAATTGAAGCCCCCAAACAGAGTAATTACTTAGCAATACTCAATCAATCGACCTGGTCTGGGGGCATTTGTGCTGTAGGACCTTCTTCTGTTCGGGAGAAAGGGGCACTAGCCTTCGCCTACACAGGCATCTGCCGACAACTAGACTTCACTACTCAACAGGCCCGGAGCGTTTCCGAATTATGTTCGCCAAGGGCGAGCATGCAAAACGTATCAAATATCTGCCAAAACGCTTACAATATATCTCCCAAAACTCAGCCATTGGTTTGTCCCTGAACAAAACAACATATTTGATTGCAACTACCAAAGCACTTTTGAGACCCCCAAAGCACCTTGGAGCACCCGAAAAATCCGCCGCTTTCCCGATTCGCGCGCGTCCTCTTCCTGCAGCTCCCTCAGCAGCCGCGGCAGCGGGGCCTCTTTGAGGAAGATCTGACGCCTTTGCGCCAGCAGCTCCAAGGGCGCACGCCCTCCCAGTGCCTGACGGCCGCGTCCGCTCGGGAGCTACGAGAGGCGACTTGGGTGTTTGAGGGGCGCGGGGGTTGGTTTTCTTTTTGGAACGAAAAAGGGAAGCCGCAGTTTTTGAGGCCCCCCAAGTTTGACACATACCCAGGATGTAAGCCACTGTGTCCAATAAAAGGATCCAAACACTTTGGGAAAAAACAAAACTGAGTGCGTGCCGAATGCCACAAGCTTTGGGGCTCTTCCAGAATGAGGTGTGTGAGTGTGCGTGCGTTTTGCTTGCCTGCCTGGGGGCTCCGTCTTCAGGTTGGCCCGAAGGGAAGCCAAAAGTTACAATTTTAGAGGTCTAATTTGACACATAGCCCGATGCTTAAACCAGTTAAACCCGTTCAAGTGGCAGCTTCACCCTGCTCACTGCAGCCCTGCAGATCAACATGGAACCCGGAAACCAACCAATTGTGAAAAAGGACTACTTTTTGGGGCGCAAACCGTTGCAGCTTGTGGGAAAGGTGGTGCAACAACTTTCTCCTCGGCAAGGGACGAGCACCATCCCCTTTCACGCTGGCAACGCATTACTTGGCCTTAAACTTAAGCCATTGGGGCTAGATTCGCCTGCCCAGATTCAGCGAACCTCAAAAAACAGCAAGATGGCGCAAGAGGTGGGGGTTTCGAACAAATCCAAGCAAATGAAAGTTATGTGAGTTGCCACGGAGAAATATAGGGAACCCCAATTGGGGCATAACACTACATTTTTTCCAGCTGGTGATTGAAAAGGGAACCTATCACTACTAGACATACCAATCTCATTTTTTTCAGGGGGCCTAAACATCCAAACGGAATATACCGCAGGCCACGGCCAAATAGCTGTGGGTCAAACATAGGTACCAAAAATGGAACCATGGTAAGTGGAAACATGGACTAAAACCTGCGGACCGATTCCTGGTTTACTTTTGACCTCCCAGTGAACATCCCAATCCCCACTATAGGTTCTAAAATGGGTGGTGAATTCACCAATCCTCCAAAATGGGATCCCAAAACGGTTTTGATAACGGCCAGATGTTCGACTCCGCCCAAACCAGCCCGCCCAAACCGCCCGCAAGCCTCCAGGGCGGCCTCGGTGGCCCTGAGCTCCCCGTAGCTGAGACGCCTCTCCGCCAGCGCGGCGAGCGCCAGGCGCTGCACCAGCGCCGGGGAAGCGCCCCCGCACCGCGCCTGGGCCGAGGGCAGGAGCCAGTTGGCTGCGGTTTTTGGGGGCGGGTTTCGTGGGCCGGATTGGGGGGGGGGAGGCATTGGTCAAGGTTCTTCGGAAGGTGTGAAGGCGCAGGTGCGGCCAGTCACACACACACACACACCAAATGGGGAAAGGGGGAAGGGGCGGGTCACAAGTGACAAGCAGCTGGTGCGTTATTTTTTGGGGGTTCATGTACGCTTTGCATGCTGGGTCGAAACCCGGGATCTCCTCATGAGCCATCAGTGCCCCCATAATTGAATAGGGAACGTGCCTGGCGGTAGCGCTGAAAGGGATAGCTAGCATCCTACAGTTGCGGCCACTACAGTTGCGACCAGTGGCCCTGGTAGAAAACCAATTGCGGTTCATCCATGCCGAATAACTTCGCAGAAATCCATTCCGAAAACGAAACTCATTTCTAAAAGCTTCGGATCCGTCCGGGATCCTTTTAACAAGAGGTGTCCCGAAAGACAGAAAACCCCTTTAACTGGCAAACGAACCAAAGAATCAACATGGCGGTCTTAGTTTTTTGTTTTTTTCCAACCTAAACATCATCTTGCAGGAAGTTCACTTTGCAATTGTCCAAGAAGTGAAGAAGTGGTGGGTGTCATATCCCATTTAAGACAAATACCCGCGGGGTTTGACCAAGCTACCAGCGACGCCAGGCACGTGGTGAGCCCATGCCCATCCATCGCGCTGTACTGCAGTCGGAGCTCCAGCTCCTTTCCACGATCTGAAAGGAGAAGCACTGGGAAACCCGTTCAAACGTCTGAGCAATCCGAACCCAGCTGTCCTCAATGCATCGCTGCGCCGATCGCCGGTTCTGGCGCCACAAAAGCTCCCGCGCCTGGCCGAAGAATTGCGGCCATCCAGGTGTTATGGGCCTGGAAACCTGATGAGCCTTGCCACCCAGCCCCAGCGCATAAGACATGCCACGCTCAAACCTGGCCCAATTTAACCATTCCTATTGCCCGGGTGGTACCTTCGATTCACCTAACCAGATTTGCGGGATGACGTCTGAAACCCAAGCTGGTGGTATATAAGCATCCGTGATCCCGAAATGGCCCATCCGGTCGCTCAGGGCGCGCAAGCTGCTGGTCAGGGGCTAGTGCTCCTACCATATGCATAGCAAATTCTTCCTCACTTGAGTGTGAAAGAACCCAGCGGTCCGAATTTCTGTCCCTGCCCATTGGGTCAACCGTGATCCACCCATATACTCCTTGGGCATCTGGAACATGTTTGTTTCATGCGCCCATGATGTGTGTTCCCTATGAAACTATTTTGCCTGGAATGGGAACAACTTCTCCTGGGTCCAGCCGCCCTTTAAGCAACAACATAATTGGTAGCTGGCGTTGGCGAACTCAAGCCGTTTCGGAATTCCCTAAACAGAAAGGGATTTGAAGGGAGTAATTGAACAAGGGAGAACCGTTTGTTCAGTGGCTCTGGCCTGATAGGGGGAATGCGCAGAACAAAAAGGGATTTACAGGGTGTCACTGAGAGCAACACCCCTTCGGCGACTCCTGTGAAATCAAAGTGCGCCATACCCAAGACTACTTTACCACTTCCCATGAGTTGTTTGATTCTCCCGTTTTTTCCAGCAAAGAAGGAGTTGAGGAGTAGAACCCAAAAGGGATGTGAACGGGGAACAAAATCTTGCCTGCAACGCCTCCTCCCACGGCATGGTGGCCGCGAGCCGCGCCAAGCGGTTGGCCAAAGCTGACACCACGCCAACGTCCTGACCCCGGACGTCAAGGGCTGCGAATGTCAAAAAAGAACGGTTGTGCAAATTTCAGCGCCAGCCGTGGCTGATTTTGTGTTATCAAGCCTAGGCCACCTAAGGGAATACCTAGGCAAGCAGCAAACCGTTGACTACCTTTTCACACTGCTGTCAGTGTTCTTGAAGTCTGTAGCGGCGGAGCATGTACAAGTACACTCATGCACAGGGTTGGAACCTGAATCCACACCCCCCTCATTTGAGATTGAGCAACAACGAAAATGTCGGCAGGTTTTGCAACCCGCTTTGATTCAACACGCACATCCATTGCACGTTGAAAATGGACATTACACATCCGTCGTGCATGCAAATTGCTACTCTCACTCAGAAGGGCTCCGTTGTGATGACGATTGCGTTCACCACCTTCCGCTAGTAGACCAGCCACGCGAACTCCAGGTCGACCACTGCCAACTGCTCCAGTCATGACTGCTCCAATCATGGCTGCTCCAATCCCTCCAGCTGCGGCTTCTGGCAGCGGAGCTGGAGGCGGGCTGAGCAGGTTGCACAGGTCCGCGGGCGCGGTCCTCGGCGCTTTGCCTCTGGCTGCGCCGTGCGAGCTTCTTCGTGTCGTCCTCCGCCCAGCAGCAAATCTCATTGATTTCAGCTTCGAGGTCCTCGGCTCCGGTTGCCCGGAGCGTAGGGAACTTTCCGCCAAAGGTGACAAGGTTGCGCATCCCCGGGAGGATGTTGACCTGGGCGACGAATTGATGAAGGCTCAGCCTTTTCCCGTTGTACAAGAATAGCCATGGAAACGAATGCAGGCTGGCGTCATAGTCCCCGACCTGGCCGCCGGTGACGTAGACAGTCCTCACGTAATGGAGACCTCGTTTTCCATAGCCTGGCCCAACCCCGAGAAGTCGCTGATCGTAACTCCGTGGAAATTCGGGGAGGACACAAAACCTATAGATAGACATTTGGTAGAGGCTCTCGCGATTGTGTCCTTGCTCCACCATGCGAAGGGCGAAGGTCGCATCCTTGTCGAACCGATCCACCACATTGTCATATCCAAGCTTGCGGGCTCTGCTATCGTAGTTCTTCGAAGCCTCAGCCTGCTTGGCTTCAAAGGATGTTGCTCCTCTCTTCGCAACATCAGCATAGCCCTTGAAATCGTTGATGAGGAGCTGATCAACCGACTTGCCAACGCGGTGACTCACCTCCTCGAGCATTTGCGTTCTCCGCTTTGCAGCTCTGAAGAGTTGAACATCATTGCCCTCTTTGGTGCTCCGTCCGCAGCTGCCCCTGCATCATGTCCTCGCCGCAGATGCTGCAGTCCGTGTAGTGGACGGGCATGGCGAAGGTCTTGAACCTGACGACTGAGGGGTCGGCCGCGGGTTGCCCCGGGCGAGCGGCGGCCGTGTCCTCGTTCGTCTGCTCTTCTTCAGGATTTGTGGCCCTGTTTCATTCCGCATCGGTCTGAAAGGCCTCGTCTGCAGTCACAGTGACGGCTCGCCTTGCGGCGAGCGAGTCGACAGTCGTTTGATTCTCCAATGCCTCAAGACGAAGGGCGTTTCTCCAAAGCACTTCACCTGTCTGCGCATCTGTGTAGTACAGAATGGCGTCATTGGGAACGATGTCGGCAGTCAGCATGACGTCAGACTCCGAAAGGAAAAACACCACTCCGAGCTCGATCGCGTACTTGAAGTCGATAACGAGCTCAATGGGCATTGATGCGCGGACTCCAGCATTATATGCTGAGCTCTCAACCGGGTGGATGGAGAAGTGGCTCTGCGAGCGGCCGCTCTCAGTTGCCCCAACTCCACCCGGGATCAATCCTGTCCTGACGATGTTCTCGGCTGCGTTCTTGCTCGTGCGATGGTATAGTTTGCCAGGGCCATCCTTGATCAGCGAAAGCTGCAGTCCGGCCTTGCGAGCATCCTCCGGGAGAAACTTCCCGAAGATGGCCTTCGCAAGTGCGTACTGGTTTCGGCTGATGTCGCCATCAGCATCAACGCTGCGGGCGTGTCCCTGACTGGCACGAACCTTGATGACAACCCACTCCTGGTTGTTCTCGGCAGCCGAAGGATGCTTGATCGCAAGAACAGTGAATCTGCATTTCGGATCACATGCAAAAATCTTCAACAGCGTCTTGTACCCGATGTTGCTGCGGGTCTTTCTGTTGAATTTGTCACATAGCTGGCGCACGTCGACAAAATAGTTCTCATCGAAGTCAAGTGGCCTGTGATCCTGAAATCGGCCACGTAGCATTCCAGTTATGGTTGTGCACCGGTCAGTCGAGGAAGGCTCTCCCTTCAGGAAGGTGGGCACTTTCAGAATCGTGCCCGGGAGAATCCTCGCCTCGTACGGCTGGCCGCGGAAGATGACGGTTCCGCCGGGCTTGCCTGGCAATGCGCTTCCTGCAGGGGTTGCCCCCCGCACATCCGATGCCACCGCTGTTGTCGTTGCTTTCGCCAGTACCTTAGGCGATGCTTTCGCGGTGAACTTGGGTGTAGCCGGAGCGGCCTTGACGCCAAGCGCAGCCTCAGCGGCACTCCCTTGCGGGAGTGCATCATCGTCGTCATAGTCGATCTCCTCCTTGATTTCGACTTCCTCGATCTTTTCGAGAATGCGGCCCTTCGCGAGCTTGATAGGACGTTGAAGGCTTTCCCATGACTCAAGCGTGAGTTTCCTGTTCGCCTCATACTCAGCCAAAGTGTACGGATTGAGTCCAGCTTCGGCGTCATGGGAATATTCAAGGTGCAACCTCACGTTGTTGAAATCTTCCTTGTGGGACTCAACGACAGCGACGCACTTCATGACGTTGAAAAGCGACCACAACCACTCCACCGTCGTCTTCCGATTCTCGATGGAGTCCACCATGTGGTAGTTGTCGAGCCTGTCCTGTCGAGACACCAAAAACGTCGACTCCTTCTTGCGAAGGAGCTTGTGCTTGCTGAGCGACTCATCCAACAACTTTTCCATGAACTGATTGTAGATGGGCGGGAGCATATAGTACGAACCCTCGGTGTTGGCCAAGATCGTGATGTTCGCAATGCCCCACCAACTCCTGCACTCCTCAAGCACATCGATCGCCTTGGCGCACTTGTTGAACAGCTCGGGCCAGTGACCGTCTCCGCATCGGTATGGCCATTCGGGCTCGTCGCAGATCCCACCGCTGCCAACGAGCTTGTTCCCGGACCAGTACACCGTCACGTAGAAGTCATGGTCCTTGAACTCAGGAGGTTTCTTGAGGTCCTTCAGGGCGCTCTTCACGGTCCACGTGAGAAATGTGAGGTCCTTTCCCCAACACATTCTCACCTCGCAGTGGCTACAACTCGTGCTGCGGTTGTAGTTCATGTCCTGCGCGCGGTCCGCCCTTTTGCGGTTCTTCTTGCCACCGCTGATCAGGGCGAGGCTGGAGTCACTCACGACGAGGTACACGCTATTCCGGCCACAGGTTGCCCCGGGCGTGATGCGGCCAAGGCCTTTGTCATTGACAGCGCACAACGTGTCCATGAGTTCCGGCGCATAGTCAGCCGCCCACATAGCGCAAGAGCTTTGCAGAGTGGCTTGTGCTCCGAGGATCTGCTCCATCGTCTTGCGGTCCTCGGGCCTTGTCTCCTGGAACAAAGTGTTCGATGTAAAGCTCGTCATCACTCCTCGCCAGTACTCCAAGTTGCCCTCCGAATACTCCCCGAGGTTGTAAGCAGCCATAGCGGCTACCGGTGAGGGAAGCTTAAGAGCAACAAGTGCACGTTTTGTTGGTCTCTGAGCCGAGCTATCGGTGACAAACTGCTTCATGCTGTCAGCAAACTCAGAAAAACATTCATGGATCAGGTCAGTCATTTCCTACGTGTAAGATTCAGCACGTTTGAGGGCCGCCCCCCTGGACTGTCCATGCTGATGATCCTTTGTGCACTTATACTGTGCAGTTTGGCCAACGATTGACAGGAAGAAGCAATAGTCCATTACTTTTGCAAGAAATTTCCATCCTTGTCAAGGACACGAAAAATACAACCATCGCAATTGTACTTGACCATCTGATATTTCATGAGATAATCATGCACGAAATAGTTCTTCCAATAACTGCAAATCTTAGGAAGTTCCATGTTGATCACAAGCACAATGTCAAGCTGTCGAAGCATAGTGATAAGTTTGTCCAAACGCTTCAGCAGTTTGCGAAACAACGCCTTGTGCTCCTGGATCTTGGCTTGACCTTCTTGAGTCTGACCATTGATGTTGTTCCAGGGGCACCCACCCGTACACGGAAGTGAAGCATGAATCATCACGCAGGGCGGTGTTTTGGACTTGACATTCTTCCTGAAAATTTGCACCTCGTCAAATACCCATTGCAACGTATCGGCAACCAACGCATTCTGACGTTCAGTTACTCTAAGCACCTTGCAACCAAATGCAGGTAATCTTGATTTGTCGCCGAGCTTGGAATCATCAGAACAGCAAAATTCGCACAGAAACCGATCATAGGTTTCATGCGTGGAAACGGCGGAAGCTTGCGCTTCGCTAGCGGGGGCTGGTTTGATTGTAATGTTTCCATCCAACTGCACCCACCGTACTCCAATAAGATTGCAAGTGTGATCCCATTTTGCTTTGCTCGTAAACGGCTTGGTCAAGATGTCCGCAACCTGATACACATGGTTGACATTGACGAGATTAAAGAAACCTTTCGTAAATTGTTCTCGAAGCCACGCCAAAGAAGTTCTTTGAGTTCTGTCAGCATGACGAAGCTGTGCGGAATTTCCAGTCTGAATGATGTGAATTGTTGCTTGATTGTCTTCACAAAATGCAACTTTAAACTTCTCATTCAAATGAACATGCAATCCGCGAAGAGGTGCTATCGTCCTTTCATGCTGCTCAAAACCACCATACCGAATCTCGTCCAACTCGGGGTCGACATAAACCAACACGGGATTGCCCCCCTGACCGGAGTTGTCCCGGCCTGGAAACGGAAACGGCTTGGCGTTGCCACCAGCTGGCTGCTTTTCCTTGGGTGCATCAAGCAATTCCCACAGCACACTCATGAGTGAAAGCGTTGGTAAACCTTGCGCTCGCACAGAGTGATTAGCAGCAACAACTTCGGCTTCAGTTGATGACATAGCAGTACTTGTCTGCTTCTTCGAAAACGCATTGATGGGGTAATACGTGTTGGGACCGACGATGACCGCCACACAGCCGGTAGTTGACCTCGAGTCGAACTCACCTGCATAGCCAGCATCTCCGAAAACCCACAGTCGACAATCCAGCAAGCTGTCCCCAATAAAACATGACATTCTGTGATTGAGGGTCGAATTGATGTAAGCAACCAAACGATGCAATCCCTCATCACAATCTTTGGACCATTTTGCAACGCGCGAAGCAAGTGACTGAGTTGCACGAAGAAGATCGTATCTCGCCATTCTCGCAGCAAAAAGGATCTTCATCAAAACCCGACTTGCTATGGGTTGCAACTTACCAGTTGGTTCTTTCTCGCTCTCACGCGGAAGTGCTGTCCTCATTTCATGAAACGGAGTCGAAACATTCTTGAGGGTAGCACGAGAAGTCTTTGCTAGCTCACAATAAGACTCAACGCATGAATCCAAGAAATCGGCCATGTCGTAATGGACGATGTTGACGGGTTTCTTCATTTGGGTGATCCATGTCAATGAGCTCCTTGAACTTGGACTTCTTTGATTGTTTCTTCGCAGCAGTTTTGTTTCTCATTGCTGCCGCGGCTGCGTGTCCTCCCACCTGGTCGGCATAGCTGAAAACTGTGCAGCCGGTCCACCAATTCTTCTCCTTGACATCGGCTTGTGCTTTCCACGAGTCCTCGAGATACTCATATGTGTTGCCTTTTGCGACACAGGTCACGCGGAGATCCAGCAGTCCCTCAAAGTTCTCGGGGGCATACCTCTTCCTTCTGGGATAAAGATGGTGTCGAACCCAAATCTTTTCCTCAGGAAAATGCTCCCAATAATCTTCCGTTCTGTGAGGGACGGCAGGACTTGCGCTCTGCTTTTCGAACACATGAGCAAATGGGTGATGTTCTTTTGTCAATGTCACCTGATTCTGCTCAACATGTTCGCAGCCGAAATATCTTCCGAGCGACTCCGGCGTGTCGATCTCGATTGCAGACTCGATGTTCTTCCACCCTTTTGCCAAATTAGCAGTTGGGCCAGCCAGCTTGAGGTCATCAACATAAACAACCAGCAAAAGCTTGAGCTCATCATGGAAGAATACGCTTTGCCAAATGCCTTTTAACAATGGCCTCCACTTGTTCTTTCGAAGACCAGTTTCGAAATGGTTCTCCCACAAGCCACCGCTGTCAATGTGACCATACAACGCCAAAATCAAAGGTGACAGTGGATCATTGTACTTGCCAATCCATTCTTTGGGCCAACGGTCTCGTGGGAGTCTCACCCATGTAGTGATGCCTTCGAACAACGCCTGCGTGTATGCCTGCTTTGCATCCCCCTGCTGCTTACCAAATCCAGGCTGAGAACCGTACAGGTCAACAATCTTGCCTGCTTCCATACTCGCAGGGGAAGAACCAAGTTCGGCAAACATCGCTTGCTCATAGTTCTCATCAACAACACGATTTCCTTCGAAAACAGTTCTGCCTTTGTACTTTCGGCTGGGGTCGCCCACAGCAAGCTCGCTTCCCTTGAGGTAACACGCCTCAAAGATACGGGCTATGTGGGCCTTTTCCCCCTTTGCCTTAGCTTCGGCAATGACTGTCTTGCATTCTTTTACCCGCGACTCGTCCCAGGTACCTTTGCTTCTGAGCTTCTCCCATTCGACATCCAAAGCCTTCTTTGCCTCAGGACTAAGCCTTGCAACTGCTGCAGTCATCAACAAAGCATTGACCAAATCTTCACGGTTGTCTTTGATATGCTCTTCAATAACTGCAGTAACACACGCTCGGTGCTCATGAACAGTCTTCCCTTTTTCGTTGACTGTGACAGGCATCGCAGGGGCAAGCATTTCGGGAATAGCTGATGCAACGGCTGCCGGCGACGGGAGCTTTGTGACTGTGCCCCCCTGACCATGAACAGCGTGATTGGGCTGAACACAGACGGCCGTGGCAGCTACGTCTGCAGCAGCTGGCTTTGCCTCCTTCTTCATCGCGAGCTCTTTGCGATACTCCTCAGCAACACGAGCGCGTTCTTTGGGAGAGGCAAGTTTCCACATATCTGATGGAATACCAGGTGGACGACTTGACTTTCGGGCTCTCACCAAACGAAAACCATCCCATTGAAACCCAGGTGGAACTGCCGACCCATCCGGCATGTGATCAGGATCATGATCAGCAAGTCCCTCGGCAGGTGCGGGAGGATCTTCCATCAAAACCTCCTCCGGCACAGCTGCTTCGCCAGGCTGCAAATGTGACTCCGGCTCATATTCCAATTCGTCCGGAGAACACGGTTTGTCGTCGGCAATAGCTTGCTTTGCGGGAAAAACAAACGTCTCATCAAGCAGACTGAACTCATACTGCTTGACTCGGAGGGGATTAATATCACCCGTCCGCAACTTGTCCGGCAAATTCTTGAGCGGCAATACCAAAATTTCATGCGTGTAGGTAAAGCCAGGTTGCACATGATAGCCAACAAAAATGCCGACATCCGAAGTTGGCAGAAACTTGGACTGCTTCGAATCGACGCGCTGACGATTGATCCAATACAGCAATTTTGCACCAAATGGAATCTTCGTGTCAGGAAACTCATCACCAAAACGCAAAGCCCACGGCGACTTATCCTTGTCCTCTGGAATTGTAACATTGAGAGCAACTGCATGATGTTGAGCTGCCAAAGGCCAAAGCTCAACCGGCAAACCGCTTTGAAACAAATTTGCCCTTGCTCCCTCCAGGATTGTACGGATCTCGCGCTCGATCACCCCATATGGCTGGCTCAGCACGTGTCTCCAACCCATACTCTTCACCGCAGCTGCAATTTCGCCAGAATTGTCAGAATAGAAAATTCCAACGTGGTCATCTGGCTTCGTGAAGTGTTGAAATGCACAAACGCAACTGTCAGCATCTTGCCTTGCTGAAGGGTAAAAAAACCGGAACTGCGTGAAAACATCTTTCACAACCAAAGCATTCCACTCGCCCTTGAACCCGTACGTTTCATCATTTGAAATGACGTGGTCAGCAGTCACATGATCTCCAAATGCTTTTGCATCCACTGAGGAAGATCCATGCCTGCGACGAGCTTGAGGTGCTTGCATCTTTGATCGCACACACGTTTCGCAAAAGGGGTTCTTGGGCCTGTGAGTGAAAAGATGCTCTTCACTTTTGGCCTCACGCATCACCATTTCTTTTGAACGCTTTGACATCGGTTTTGGAGCTTCCGCAACCTCAGGGTTGTCCTCCAATTCCGGATCAAACTCCGGTTCCGGCGGTTCAGCTTCATCAGGGCGCAATGGAAACTGCATGAGATGTGCACTTCACACGTTGACCATGCGGATGAACCGATTCCCGCAGACCTTTTTATGCTTTGAAGGAGAAAAGTCGCCCCGGAGGTTTGCAGGTTATGAGCCCAAGCCGCTCGCGCACATGGAGGTGATGAGGCGGCGACGGTCCGGCCAGGTAAGCCCTGGCGGGGAAGTCGAGGAGAGCCGGGCACTGGCCGGGGGCGAGCTGGTGGCGGACGAGGGAGAAGATCCTGAGATGGGTGAGCCGAGGGAGGGTGATGACGCCCTGGAGGTTCACTCGGCAGATGGCCGTGCATCCACCAGGGAGGCATCAACGGCAAGATCGGAGAGGAGCTCATCGAGGACGAGGGAGACGTCACCGAGGGCCCTCAGGCCGGGCATGGATGATGAGCCTTTGGTGGAGAGGGAACCGAGCTCTACGGCCTCTAGGCAAAGGAGCGCTTCAGCGCAGAGCTCTATGGCATCTGCGAAGCCAGGGAGTACCACGAGGTCGAGCCCTTCGGCATCTAGGAGAGCGGGCTCTATGGAAAGGGCCGGTGATGGCCCGAAGGCAGGAGCGGAGGTGAATCCCTTTTGGTCCAAGAGGGTGCAGGAGGAGGTGAGGCTTCGTGAAGCGAGGCCGGAAGGACTGCCACCGGTCCCGGAGTCAGGTGATGAGGAGGAGCCGGTCAGGACACCTTTGAAGGCTGCGGAGGGAGAAGCAGCCGCGAAGAGGAATCGGGCCAGGGCCTTCATGTCGCCGGAGGAGCGGTTGGCGGATGAGAAAAGGGAGTTGGCCTTGCAGGCGGTCAAGAGGGATCTGAGACGGATCGGAGGAGAGGGTCCGCCGGAGGAGGGCGGGCGGAACAAGGGGCCTTCAGGTGGAGGCGGAGAGGATTGGGATGGCGCCGGAAGCGCAGGAGACAAGGGAAGGCCAGCCACACCTGATGACCGTCTGGAGGGGGAACTCAGCAGGGTGATGATCGAGGAGTACGGTGCGGTCAACATGAACCTGGCTGAGGCGTTGCGGCAACGGAATGAGCTGCGACATAAGGTGGAGCGACTGGAGCTGGAGAAGATTGTGGTGGAAGCGGAGGCCGAGCAGAACCGGAGGATGGCGGAGCTGTGGGAATCACGGGCACGGCAGGCTGAGAAGCACGTGGAGCTCTTGACGGACCAGATCACGGTGCTGGAACAACGGCCTCAGCAATTTCACACGCCGCAGCAAGAGGAGGAGCCGCAGCCACCTAGGCCGGAAACCCCCCCACCACCGCCTCCGGGAATTCGATCCAAGAGGCAAAAGCTGGAGATGACGCCGGGTGGCACCAGGGTGCCGCAGGATCCACCCCCTTATGATCATGAATGGCCAAACCCAGAAAACGGTTGGGTCATGGACGGGGTGAGTTACAAGCCGGCATGGGGGCGCTCGAGGTCTACGTCAAGGGAGGAGAAGCCGGCGGCAAGCAGACCGAGGTGGACAAGGTCGAGGTCGACTTCCAAGGACGGTGGTGAGGCACGGAAACCCGAGGAAGGGAAGCCAGCAATTCCAGTGGCGCCCCTGCTACAGCAGAAGCCAAAGAGTCGGCCGGAGGTCAAGGAGATGCCCAACGAGACTGGACGGGCTACGGATCTGCCGGAGCTGGTGGGCGATGGAAGCCCGCTGACATTTGGGGACTGGATGGCCACGATCGACCACTACATGAAGGACATTTCGACCTACAGCGCGATGTGGTGGGAGGAGGTGTGCGCTAGTGCGAAGGAGGCCTACGCGGAGTGGTTGGTGGCGAGCCCGTTGCAGAGATTGCGCATCAAGCCGGAGTTGCCGCTGGTCTGCATGGATTTGCCTCGCACTGAGCAGAGAGGGGTGGCCATGGTCCTCAAGGCGCTCCCGGAGAGCGTAAAGAAGGAGCTGGTGGCCAACAGGCAGTTGAGCATGGTGAACATCATCTATCGCCTGTACATCTTGTACCAGCCAGGAGGAGCCTCGGAAAGGCAGCAGATCCTGAACGCGCTGCTGGACACCAAGGGCGGGAACGCTTCGGAGGTAGCTAAGCAGCTGAGGTCGTGGAGGCACTGGAGGAAACGGGCGCTGGAGCTGGGAGTGGCGCTGCCGGATGCCACGTTGTTGGTGTCGGCCCTGGACAAGTTCGCTGCGGCTCTGTCGAAGCTGGATCAGCAGAGCAGCTACCGAATGTCCACGGTGAGAGCGGAGCTGAACCTGGACACGAGGCCGACTCAGGAAGCGGTGGAGAGCTTCGCGGAGTACCTCCAAGCGGAGTCCGAGACGGCGGAGTTGGCCAAGGGCGGCAAGGAGACCGCTCCCAAGGTGAAGGCGATGGGTGGTGCAGGAAAGGAGGAGGCTGGACCCTGGAAGCCATCGAGTGGTGGTGGGACTCCCGGGAAGCCGAGGGTGGTGGATTTGTCGAGGGCGTGCAAATGGTACGCGACCGACGCGGGTTGCAGGTTTGGCAAGAACTGCAAGTTTGCCCATGTGTGGGACAGCCTGGATCGGCAAAAGGAGCGGTGCTGGAACTGTGGGAGTTTGGAGCATCGCAAAGCGGAGTGCCCGCGGCCTGGGCCCCAAGGTGGCCCGGGAGGAGGTCAAGCTGCGGCTGGAGGGGGCGAAGGAGCCAAGAGGAGAGCCGGAACACCGCCGGGAAATAAGGGGGCGGTGAGGAAGGCTGCTGGAGGAAAGAGCCATGCGGCGGAACCGGTGGTGGAAGAAGAAATGGAGGAGGTCGTTGTTGAGGAGACCGGTGGGAAGGACAAGCTGATGGCAGAGGCGACGCAGCTGTTGAAGAGCCTCAGGATGAAGAAGCTCAAGGCGGCGAAGCTGTCAAAGATCGGGGAGTGCCAAAGTTGGGGGCTTCTTGATGGAGGGGCCACGCATGCGCTCAGGCAAGCGCGGAAGGGGGAGACAGGGGAGGACCGCATGGTGGAGCTTGCGGACGGCCGGGAGGTGGCGATGCAGATGACGGAGGGTCACACTTTGATCTGCAAGGAAGCCACGCAGGTCATTGTGCCGCTTGGAGCGTTGTACCTGCTGGGCTACAGGATCCGCTGGGAGGAGGGTATCTGCTGCATCGAGCATGCGAGCCGAGGCCCGTTGCCGGTGAGGATGAGGCAGTTTTGCCCGGAAGTCCCGACGGAGGTGGCTCTGAGGTTGGTGGAGGAACTGGAGGAGTTCAACAAGGGGTTGCTCAGGAGGGCGGCGACAGCGGCGACCAAGAGCATGAGGAAGCCGGACGTCAAGAAGGGCCTGTGCGGCAGGGTGGCGGAGGCGTGGAAGAAAGGAGAGATGGAGAAGGTGAAGGGGGAGTTCGAGCAGCTCTTCCCGGAGGTGCCGGTGGCGCTGCTGGAGAGGGCCCTGGGCACAGGAGAAGGAAGGGGAATCGCCTGGAACCGGGCGGCGAGGAGGAGGCATGCCAAGGCGACAGGGTTGATCCTGCATCTCTTCGCCGGAAAGAGTGCGAAGAAGTTCAACTACGGGCAGTGGGACAGGGAGATCATTGCGGTGGACATCCTGTCGGGCCAGGATTTGCTTGAGGAGGACACCTTCGGGTACCTGGCTGGTTTGGCGGCGGAGGGAAGGACGGAGGGGGTCATGGGTGGACCGCCGTGTCGGACGTATTCCTACTGCCGGCACTTTGAGCCTGGCCCTTATCCGGTCCGAGGAAGAGGAGAAGAGCGGTTTGGCTATGAGGAGCTGAGCGAGGTGGAAGCAAAGAAAGTGGAGGGCGACAGCGTTTTGATGCTGCGCATGTGGATCCTGGCGGTGCTGGCGAATGGTGGCCGGGAGATGGTGGGTCGGAAGGCATGGATGGTCAAGGAGCACCCGGAGGACCCGAGGAGCTTTGTCAGTGAGGAGGAGTGGGAGAGGGCCAAGGCCCGGGGGGGCGAACCGCCTTCGATCTGGGATTGGCCGGAGGTCGCGGCGATGGAGGAGGTGCTGGGACTCATCAGGGTGAAGTTCGACCAGGGTGCGATGGGCCACATAAAGAGGAAGCCGACGATGCTGTTGACCAGTATCAAGGACCTACGGCAGCTGGACGGCATGAGAGGACCTGGAGTTGGAGGAGCGGGGAACCGCGAATCCAGCAGCTGGGCAGAATGGGCGCCGGGGTTGGTGGCGGCGTTGGACGAGGCGATCAAAAGGGAGGTGGTGGCAGCGGCAAGAATGGCAAAGGCATCGGCAGAGGAGATGTGGAAGAGCCACGTCGAGAATGGCCATACCCCGTTTCGCCGAGACTGCAGGGCCTGCATCCAGGGGGGACTCAGAGGAAGGAGCCATCGGAAGAGGAGTCACCCGGCCTTGGCCACTTTGGCCATCGACGTGACGGGCCCGTTCAAGACGTCTAAGGAGGGGCATCGCTATCTGTTGGTGGGGTCGTACGTCACGGCGGTGGCGGAGAACATGGCCAAGGAAGATGAGGTGGAGAAGGAAGCCAGGGAAGAAGGGGAAGACCCGAGTGAGGACGGCATGAACACGGTGGAGGTCTATGCGGACGCAGGTTTCGGGCCGGATGGAGGCCGCTCGCAGCAGGGGGTCATCGTATGTTATGGTGGCTGCCCAATCCATTGGACGAGCACGAGGCAGCCGTTTGTGGCAAGATCGACCGCGGAGGCTGAGTTGTTGGCAGCCATGGAGGGGGTGCTGCAAGGGGAAGCCTGGGCGGAGATCATCGCTGACCTGGAAGACAGGAAGGTCGCATCGGTGTGGGACAGGGCGGGCATCGATGTGGAAGGGCGGGACCAGCTGAAGTCGTTGAAGCTGGTGATGATGCAGGACAATGCGGCAGCGGTCACGCTACTGCAGGGCTTAGGTGGGTCATGGAGGACGAGGCCACTGAAGATCCGGGCCAGGTCGGCCAGGGAGAGATTTGAGAATGGCTTCTGGGCGCTGCAGCACTTGCCGGGCGAGACGATGTTGGCGGACATCGGCACCAAGGCCTTGGGAAGCTCTCGCTTGAGAGCACTGGCCGAGATGATGGGTATGAAGATGGGCGAGAACGACGCGATTTCGGAGAAGGATGAGGACCTTGTGAAGGTCGGGGAGGGGAACGCGGCCAAGGTGAGGGCGGTGCACAGTATCGAGCATGAGCGAGGCCTGAAGGTCTTGACGGGCATCACGTGCATTATGCTGGCTGATGCAGCGGACATGGAGGATGAGGAGGCTTCCCGGGAGGAGCTTCTGTTTTGGACGGCGCTTCTGGTGGCGGTGGTGGCCGCGTGGGAGGCGCTGAAGTGGAGTGCGAGAAGGGCAGTAGGTGCGGTGCGGAACCTGCAGAAGGGGGAGGATTGCGGGAGTATGTCAACTACCGGAGGTGGGGTGAAGGTGAAGGCTATGCAGGGTGGTAAGGAGAGGGCAAGGCAGAGGTTGCTTGAGAAAAGGGCAGACAGAGAGAGCTCCGAAGAAGGGCAGGAACGGAGCACAGAAGGAGGAGGAAGGCTGGGCAGCAGTAGTTATGCAGGGTGGAAAGTTGGAGGTGGAGATGTGAGGCAGCCCGGGTTGGCGCCGGAGAAGAGTTCTGCGGCGGAGTGGAAGGTTTCCTTGGATGAGGATGAGACAGTGGTCTGGGAGGATGTGAAGAAGATCTTCCCGGGGATCGTGAAGGAGCCGGTGGGGACGGAAGACCGCTGGTTGGAGAAGGGCGGCTACTACATCAAGATGCACTGCAGAAGGAGGGTCACGGAGTTTGACCCACGGAGGGGCCACATGCCGAGGGAGAAGATTGGGCCGGAAAGGATCACGGTGATGAGGACGTCGGGGCCTGTCTTCGTGCTGGGCGGCGACTACACGGTGGGGTCGCGGTCTGGCCTGAGGGAGTTCGTGGGTTTCACGATCTTCAAGAAGCTGGAGGTGGGGTCTTGAGCTGGCGCCAAGGAGCGCAAGGTGGCTGAGAGCGATAAGATGCTCGACGCCATACATTTTGGCTGTTGGCACAAAGTGCCAAGGGGGGGTGCATGAGATGTGCACTTCACACGTTGACCATGCGGATGAACCGATTCCCGCAGACCTTTTTATGCTTTGAAGGAGAAAAGTCGCCCCGGAGGTTTGCAGAAACAATGCGGCATCCGGCGAAGGTCGCCCCCCGCTTGAAGGTGAAGGCTCTTCAACGCCCCCGATCTTCTGATCGGATGCAGCAAGCGCAACAGGCATAGCAGATTCAGAAGCTATGACCTCGCACTGATCGTCAACATACGGAACTCGCCCATCAAGCTTCAATATTACCGCCTTGCCATCAGGTCGCACAAAGTACGGAGCACTGCTCTTTCTCCATACGAAATCGTACCCCTTTTCCAAACATCTTTGACCAACAGAAAGAACAGTCGGCAAAACATACGGAGTGACGACCTCGTTCAACTGATCAATGGAGAAGTCCGCAATCTTGTCTGCACAAATTGATCCATTTGCTGTTGAAAGATTGATTGGAGTCAACGCAGGATTTATTCTCTTTTGAAGTGTAACTGCACGCTCAGTGTCAACCAGATCTTGTTCACTACCTGTGTCGACAATCCACTGACGAAGCCCTGCTGGTGCTGGCGTAGCAATATACTCCGGCACTTCATCAAGGTTCGTTTCATCATCATCAATCCAACAGCCGGGACAATACAAACCGCACTAAATTGGGTCATTGTCATCATAGTATTCGCAATAGAACCCACAAGGCGCGTTGTAGTTTGCTTGCATCAACTCAACAACCCCCTCCAGAATCAAAGCTTTGTCTTTAGCATCGATCAGATCCTTAGGATTTGAGCCAGGCGCACAACCATCATACCACACCACCTCAGGGTCGTTCGGCTTTGGAGCACATGATAGGCATAGCCCGTTGGACTCGATCTCGACGATCTCGACATTATCTGCGAATTTGACGCATCTGCGGGAATTGGAAACATCTGTACTGCAAATGAAAATTGTTTGCCCAGTCCAGTATTGCTCCAAACCTTCATCAGGATCCGCCCAGAAATCACCAAACACTTGCTCTTTGCCATTGATGTTGGCTTTGGTGATGCGCTGATCCAACAAACATTCCAGCGAAACAGGAAGGTCTTTTGCACTCTTCGGATCGTAAATCGCTTTTCGGGGCATCACATGGTGTCGAATAACCATCTCGTTCACCGAGTCAACTTCCCAGAAATCTTGCTTTGGGCGGCATGCTGCGAGGCATGCATTGGTCTCTTTCACCCTCAGACACACAGCGGCTGAGGACTCGCCCTTTTTACTCTGGGATCGCTTTCTCCCTTTTCCCTTTGGGGTGGGAGACCTGCCTCTGCTGGCTCCTTTCTTTGGGCTCGGCTTATCTGTTGCTGGTGCAGCAGACCGAGTCTCATGCGAAAACGCACAGTTGTCTCCGCGAGTGCATTTCCCCTGACCGCCTTTGAAAAACCAGCACGGGATCTTTTTCAGCTCCGCTCTCTTTCTCGATGCCGACCGATCCCTGTCTCTCCCCTGGCTGTCAGAGCGCCCCCGACCTTTTCCTTTCGGATTTTGGCTCGGGGGTCTTGGGTCTTTCTCATGCTTGTAGATGCAATTATCCCGAGTGCACTTGCCTTTCTGAAAATCGAAGCAATACTTGACCGCTGAAGGATCTCTTGCATTTGCATTGGGAGCTGGAGCACCGACCTTCTGATTGTGAGCTCGGGCGACACGATCACGATTTGACTGCAATCGCCCCCGAGTCAAAACATCACGAACGGCTTGAACAAGAAACTCGTAGCTCTTGTCATACGACCCATCTTTTGCACGCTCGTATGTATCAAGGTCATACTTGATCTTGTGACATCCACGAATCTGTCGCAAGAAGATGTCCTTCAAAACGTGCTGCTCCGGAACGATCTTCATGCCAGCAATGACGGAATCCCAATTCTGAATAAAGGTCATCAAATCATTGCCATGAAGTGCCACCTTTAACAAATCTTCAGTGGAATACAACGCTCCGGCCTCCTCATTCGTTCTGAAATACTGCTCAAACATTAGAAGAACTTGACGTCCACGGACAACTTTGTCCAAAGCGGCTTGTTGCTCCTTGTACGTAAGGATCTGCCGACTAAGGTCGCCCCTACCAATCCGCGACAAGGCAGCAAGAAGCTTTGTATCCAACGTTTCAAACTGCTCTGGATCTCCAAGCTCTAACATGAGATTCTTCTTGTCCTCCCTGTTGACGTACACCTTGTTAACCCAGGTGAATGCAGCGTCAGGCCGATCTGAAGCAGCCCGAATCTCTTCGCGAGTAGCCGTTTTCCAGGCTCTGTAGGTCTCAGGAGTTGGAAACTCACTCAGCCTCAACGAATCAGCTTCCTTTGCTTTTGGCCGATCATGCTGATTCCGGACAAAGCCGAGGAGGGCCGCACGGAACTCCGCCTCGGTGGTCTCGGGACCAGTCAACCGATCAACATTCGGCTGATTTGTCGGCTGATTTTGCTGACTTCGGCTGTTTTCTTGCTCCGAAGACCGTCTCGCATGATCTTTGATATCAAACTGCATTGCACCAGAAATAGGATCAGTCCAACTCTGCTGTGGAATAATCTGAGGCATAGGTCCAGAAGTTTGTGCATTCTGCGTTGGAAAAAGACGCGGATCATCAAAGACACTGCCCCTCCTATCCAAAAACGACTCTGAACTGACGTTCTGAAAACTTGACGCAGGTTGAGGATCTCTGCGCACCATCTCACGCTGCGCCCTTTCGAGATCATTCCTCAGACGCTCAACGGTGTCGTTCAGCCCGTTGATCGTGTCCTGCATGGCGTGATTTTCCGCCAAAATACTGTCTCTCTGCTCACCGACCGCCTTCTCCGAGTTCTCCATCACAACAGTCTCCGCATGTAAGCTTTGTGCGAAAGCGCTATACTGTGCCGTTCCTTGCGACACAGCTTCGTTCACTTCGGCAGAAATTGCTCCCCGCCTCTGACTAACCTGGGCGCTGAAGAAAGCGCGGGACTCTGCGAACTGCTCGTGCAGCTCGAGGGTCCGGCGGTTGTTCTCCTCATCCAGGCGATGCACAGTTTCTGCCAAATGAGCGCTATATTCCGCCCTTGCAGCATCCATAGCAACGCGATGTAACGTGTTGGCCTCTTCCCTAGCAGCGTCACCCATGTCGTTATGCACATGCATGATGTTCTGGGTGGCTTGGTAGTTTGTCGCGAACCCAAACATGTTTCGAGGATCGCGAGGGTCGACAGGACCATTGGATGCAACTGCACCTTCACTACCGTCACCAACATCTCCAGATATATTGTAAATGGCAGGCATATCTCCGGATGCCATGGCGATCTTTGTACAAGCCTTTACGGCTGATAACCTGTGTTATCAAGCCTAGGCCACCTAAGGGAATACCTAGGCAAGCAGCAAACCGTTGACTACCTTTTCACACTGCTGCCAGTGTTCTTGAAGCCTGTAGCGGCGGAGCATGTTTCAAGATTGCTTGTGTGCTTAGACATTTGCGATCTGACACCCCTCCCCCCTCCCCCAAAACCCATGAACGTATGGTGAGCATTGACTTCTGTCATCTCTGTATTCACTTGTGCGTGCAAGGCGCCGCGTCTCTGCAGCTCCTTTTGTTCGCGCTGACAAAACGTGTTTATGATTGTCATTCTACTTCAGTCTTGCAAACTTCCGGGCAGCTGCGAGAGTCTCTCTGCAAACTTCAGTGCGCAATGCCACAGTCTCCGCGCAAGTTTCTCTGCCCAAGTTCTGCGTGCAAGTTCCGCGCGCCAGTGCTTCGTTCAAACTCTTTGCCAAAGTTCTCAACGCAAGCTTTTGTGCGCACAATTATCGGCTCAAATTTATCGGCCCAAATGTTGTCAACGCAAGTGCTCTGTGCAACCTCCGCAAGTCTGCTCTGTGCGTGTCGCGCGCGTCATTCTCAATGCAGGCAACTCGGCGACAGCATCCCAGTGCACATCAGCAACGCCGCTCCACGCACAAATTCGCGCGGCTGTCTGAGTCGCCTTGCTCCCGTAAACGCCATGGCCATTTTCGCGGGACACAATAAAACCCGCGACCATCTATCTCCAAAAATGCAACCTTGTCCGGCGCCACCTAACCCAGTGAAACCCATCTAGGTCCTCCAGTGGAGAGGTTAGAACAAGGGTATCCTTTTGTCTGCAGTCTATTTTAGTATAGGAGAACCCTCCCAACCAAAAAAGAATCGGTACAAGGGCACCTAGCCATCCCTTGGGTTGCTGTTGGCCCCCCTGCAAACAGTCGAACTTTTTGGGGGGTTTCATGAAAAACACCCTCATTTCCCCAAAACTTAAAGTCTAAAGATCCAACCCAATAGTCAAGAAATCCATTTCTCGACCTCAGGCCGGCGGAACCAAAGCGAGGTCCTCCGCCCGCTGGGCGTCGAAGGCGGCCAAGATCTGCACCGCCTCCGAGCTCGGCAGCGACGAGGCCTCCCTCAGCGCCGCCTCCGCCAGGTCCACCCACTGGAAGTCCGACAGCGCCTCACCTGCAAAGAAAGCAGACAAAACACAACGAGGACAAGTGAACCCCGAGCGTTTCGTGTTTGTGTGTTTGAATCTTGGGCAAATTGGGGGGTACAGTTTTTGTTTGTTTTTCTTTGGGGGGGAGGCGAGTTGCGTGTGTTGTTGGTTTCTGGCGTTCGTTGTGTCTGTTGCTTTTGTTGTGGGGGGTGTTTTAAGTGTGTTTTGAGGGGTTGGCTTTTGGGCCCCTGCAGGGTCTGGCAAACCTGTTGACTTTCCGGGTTTCTTTTGGGAAAACTGTCAAACATGGGGGAATAAGGAAAGCCGAACAGAGGGTCGACAGTGGGACAATTGGTGAATATATCCTTCGATCTCCCTAAATACAACTCAATACAATGTCGCACCTGGTTGAATACGGTTGAATATTGGCACCACCCTGAATTATGTCAAGTTTCCCCGGCGTAAGCACGATCTCCCCACTGTGTGGGTACCATCTTTTTTGTCAGGTAGTCTGCCCAACAAAAAAAGGCAACCAACATAACACGGCCCAAACAAGTCGGCCAAACAAATCCGGGCAAACAAAACCGGGCAATAGAAACCATTTTTGAAGTAGTCCCCAAACCAGCAACTTTCAGATAACTTCTTCGTCACAAACCAGGGCCCAAACATTCAGACAATGGGGGGGGGCCCACGGGAGCCAGTGATCCAATTTGGGATCTGGCAATACTAAATTTAGACTAGGCCATACTAAACTAAGCGCCGGGAATCCGAGAGTAAGTCCTGGCAATACTAAACTTAGACTAGGCAATATTCAGCTAGGTTCTGGCAATACTAAGCCAAGTGGTGGAACTCCAACTGGAAATTATGGCAATACTAACCATACTCAAGCAATACTTCAGTCATCCAAGATCCCTGCCCGCGCACTGTTTTGACTGTTCTGGGGAGGAGGGGGGGGGGGCCACATTAAACAAGGTCCAGCACTATGCAAGTTATGGGGAAGCAACAAACACAAAGTCGAACAGGCAAACAACATTGCAAAAAGGATCCGTCCGGGTTTCTTTCTGACTTCTTTCTGTTGAGTCGCCGCCCAGCCCCTCTCCCCCTCACCCCAAGAAAAGAAAGTCGCGCGCGCGTGAGAAAATCCTCTTGGATGGCACCAAAAGGGCCACAGAACTAAGCGATCAAATCCTTAGCTGCGTAAAACGCAGAGCCATGCTGTTGAACCACAATCTTTTCGGCCACGCGTCCGGGGGGGGGGCTTTGTGGGGAGCCAAGGGCCCCGAATCCGACAGACTCGATGGAGTCCCCGGCGCAGTCGAAATGTGTTGGGTTACCATGCGAAAGACTCGCAAAGGTCGACAGACTCCAATCCAAAACGGGAGACTCGTAGAATGATGTTTGCTGGGCTTCCTTCTGCATATCTTCGGGAAGGTGGGCGCGTTGGGACGTAGTTAATGCTCTTTAAGGAACTCTTGATGACTTGACATTCGAAAGTTTAGAACATTGGTGAATCATCGAAATGGTGAATCAATGAATCATATCAGCCAAATCTTTTGAACACGGTCAAAAGACAACGGACTTGCTCTAAGCCCAAAGGATTGAATTCAATAGCGAGGATGAACATGACCAACGGCGAAAGCCATGACCAATCCCACGCTGCTGGCGAACGAAGCGTCGTTGGCTTCGCCTCGGAGCGCCTTTTGTGTGAGCTGCCGGTGCTCCTCCTTGAGAGGCTCAGCCGTCAGCAAAGTCCGCCGTACCTTTCTGTTGGCTCGAGGGATTGCCCGAAACCGCCTGCCTCCAAAGCAATTTGGCGCCCCGTTTGAGGTGTTCCAGGTTTCACCAGAGGTTCCAATCCAAACCACCAAGGACTACCTGACCCTCAAACAGCGAAACGTTTTCCTGATCAGCGGGAGCAACGTTGAAGGTTAAGGACCCACATAGCAGTCAAGCGAGGGGTGTCCTTTTTCGGGTTGTTTGGGGCATCCAAAAGGGAACCAACCATTGGGGTGCATATCCCTTTGGCATGCCCATTCCATCTGCATACAAAAGGATCAACATTCACCGGAGCCGGCCGGAAGTCTTGCGAGTTGCTGCGGAAATTTAGCAAGTCCCCACGACTGGATATTTCAACAGATCTGAATTGACGAATCGCTGTGACATGGCTGTGGAAAGCCACCCTGCCAGGGGTCATTCCCATGATATTCTCACCTAAAAAATCGGCCTTCGGAAGGGTTTCGGGATGCCCAATTCCAGTCAGAGCGGGGGAGAATTGAAACCTATTAGCACCTTACCTGGGTGGAGAGACCAAGTGGCCCTTCACCCCAATTCAGCCGATTGCTCTGAAACAAGGCCAAGCCACGAAGTCCGAACAAGCAAAACCAGATGCGTCGGTCTTTGCATGCAAATTGCTCAGATGCCCAGTGGCCGTGGGAAAAAAGGGCATCCTTTTTTGGTTTGTTGAGTTTCATCGGGAACCCTTTCCCAAAAAAATGAAAAAAGGGCGGCACTGGGCAACAGAGACAATTGAAGTCTCTGAGAAGTTTACTTCAGCAAAGACCCCGAAGCAACCTTTATCCTCTCAACTGACTTAGCGATGGCTTGCCATGTCCCAAGTGTGGCCAAAGTTCACAAGCCGCCGAGAACTTCTGCAACCGGCCCAGCATGGCGCAAGACCCATGGCCCGGCCACGCGCCGACCAACCCGTGGGGCTGTGGCAACGGCCCAAAGGAAACGTTGCCGTGTTGCATAGAGACTGTACTGTTTGGGGATGGTGGACACCTGGGTGCCTCGGGATGGTGGAAACCTGGCTAAGGTCCGGAAAAGAACCTGGCTGCATCCCTTCTCCTGCCGGTTCCCATAGGAACCAAAGCATTGTACGAGAAATCTAGGGCTACCCTTAATACCCCGAACAGGGCTCCCTTAAAACCACACCCTCAAGGTAAGCATCAGGGCTCGCGGGCACCGTGGAAAAGAAGCCAGCTACACCGAATGCCCTATGGCAAGTGAATCACCCAAACAGTATGATAATGTGTTGTTTCTCGTGCTTTCTGCTTTCTGCGCCGGTCTTCTGATTGGGAGGCTCCCTGTCATGACCTGAATGGGATGAAGCTACGGCAGCCGGTGGCGGAAGTGGGGAGTCTGCAAATTAGATTATCATTGTCAAGCATGTGTGAACTTGGGAGGCTGTCTCCAAACGGAATCAACGTACTCGCTTGTATAATCCACTGATAAGTAAAGAGCTTAGCCATGAACAATGAGAAACCCAAAGTGGGATTTACATGTTTGCATTGCGCCATCATAGTGTAAACTTGTGTTGCACCTTCCTGCGCACCATAGCCACCCAGGGTCAACATCAACCTATGCCGATACTCAAACGGCGAGACAAATCGGCTCAGGCTCAGGGACTCATAGCATGCGATGTACCCCCTAAGCGCCCATTGCCTGTCACGTGGGTGGTGTATATTCAAGATATCATACATTTGATGCACAATATATATATATATATAGAAATGTACATACACCAACTGTGGTACATGAATCTAATCTAAATATATACACTCTCATCCATTCACACATGCATGCTTGCATGTGTAGATCATGCGAAGCTACAAGTAGCACCTTGAGCGTCAACAGTTCCTACATCTGGCTGCCGTGGATGGCCATGCCAACGGTGGACCATGACCGAAGAATCTGGTCATGTTCAATCCAAATCGCTACGACGGGAATTCGTAGGTTCCACTTTGAAATAGATACATTCAATGAATCTCGCGGACGATGCCCGTCGATCTGCAGAGGCTTGTATCTGAGCGATGATAAAACTTCCTGAGGAACTGAGTAAGCACTGCAAAACCAGGACCGCAGAAGTTTTCGGCAAGTCCTGCAAAAACAAACACGCCTACTGGTTGCAAATGACATCACACTTGTAAACATTGTTTCAAACCTTGACCCTCCCCACCCCAGCTAAAACAATCCTTAATTACAAAGACCGAGTTCGCTTGACCCCGGGCCAGCCCCACATAGAAAAAGCACGTGCCGCCGGCAAGCCAGCTTCATGTGCAGATTCACTTCCACCAAGTTTCGTAAGTAGATCAGCTCTTCCTGGTCTTCGCGATCAGCTTGAATTCTTGCCTGGAACCACCCAACAAAAAAACACCTGACCGCGGTGCACATAGGCGCCTTCGCCCAACACTCACCGTCACCCCATTTTACAAGACAATCTTTAGTGGAGGCTGGTCTCAAGTCCAATCCACCAGTCCACTAGTCAGTGGCTGGGGGTGCAACAAGCAAAGCATCATGATGCATCAAATGGACCAAAGAATACCAGAAGTTGAACTTTGCCGAACAGCAAGCTTAAGGGTGGATGCGCGTACATGTGTGTGTGTGTGTGGCACGTGAAGGGTCCCTACCGACAGAATGTGTCATCCTTGTCTTGGAATTTGAAACCATTCATCGGAGGGAGGGTTGTTGGTCATTGGCCATGTTCAAGCAACATGTGCCATGCGCCATGAAGACAAATGGGTAGAAAATGTTTGATGGTTGTTCCTTTGCGAGGTCGTGCTTCAAAACCTTCCAATCCGGGTGCGGCCATCCCTGCAACGGAGACCATTGGTGTGGTGTAAAGAGTGTTGCTTTGCGTGGCCTTTCTGTGGCCACTTGATTTTAACGTACCAAACAAACGCAGCCAAAAAAAAGATAACAAGAAACAGCTGCAAAACCCAAACATTCCGACCTAGAACAATGCACACCAGCCGGCCTTCTTCCACGGTTTGGGACATCGCATAAGCCAAGGATGCGAAGGGCTTGGCTCTCATCTTGGCGCTAGGCACAAAAAACAAAGTGGGATTGATGCGTTTTGGCCTCCCCTTGGTAATTATCATGTGGGGTTGTCTCAAATCAAGGGCCCTCAAGATTCGTGGCAATACGTTTGCCCCGCTTTAAGGCCACCCCAAAAAGAGTACCATCAAAGAAAACCACACCCATTTAGCCCTCAGCGGGGCGCAGCTTTGCAGACCGCGGCAAAACGCCTCCCGCTGCAGCTTTTGTCGCAGCGCCAGCTTGGCCTCACCAAACAAATGCGCAGCTTGTGCTTTTTGCGGCCCAGACATCAACTCCATTGGAATTCCCTGCGTACGCAGCGCATCGCAGCGCCCCCCCCCCCCCCACCCAGCCCGTTTAAGGCGATGAAGGGAGCAGGCCAACAGGTTTGCTGGAATATCTTCGAAGCAAACAGCACCGAAAACCTCGCAAAAGAAGCTCCTAAGATTGCAGTTGCAAAGGTTTCACTGCAAAAAACCGATGTTTGCACAAGGCCCTTAGTTTCCCCAGTGCAACCACAGGACACCCAAGAAACGGTGTCAATGTGAAATGTGTTTTGATGCACTTTGGCCCGCCTGTGCAAAGGGCGGCAGGAGCTTCAGATCGTCAGCCCGGATAAAGCCTAAGCAACTTCCAGGCTCAAAACAAGGCAAGCATACCAAAATTGACATCGCAGCCTAATACTGAGTTGTCCCATGTCCTGTTCTGGCTTTGAATCAATCCTGGAACTTTGCACCATCCCCAATGACTCGGGTTGAGGTCATGATCTGAGGTCAATGGAGTTGGGAACCAACTGCTTCCTGAAACCAGGTGGTAGCAAGGAACCGATATATATATATATATATGTATATATATAATTGTGTATATGAGAACGTGCATAATATACATGTGAACATGCTGCAAGAACTGGCCATCGGAACGCAACTGTGGGCAAAATGGCGTTGAACCCTTGCCATGGCCGTCTTAGCTTATCCCGACGAAAGATAACATGTTTGAGCCTGGTATGAATGCCAGCGCAGCCTAGCGGCCCCATCCGCTCTGCGCATTCCACCGCACCACTTCACCTCGATTCTGCCGCTTTGGGGCATCGATTCAGCCGCTCCCGCTTCACTTTTTACAAGTCAAGCCACCCCAACACTGCAAAAAGGCAAACTAATTGTTGGAACTGAGGCCAGGCCTACCCAACACACCCTCATGTGAGTTCAACGCGTCCACCACCAATTCAGACAGTCTTGCGCTGCCATCCCTGCTTTGCACTTATGTGCGGCACGAGGCTCCAGAGAACTGGCCCTTGATCACTTGCCGGTTCTCCAACGCCTCGCGCAGATCTACGCCCGGCCCAACAAAGAAGGACCTTTGGGTGTTGCCCCCGTCTAGAATAGATGGAATAGTTCTGTAAGTCTCCATCTCCCATTGCTTTTTTTCAGGAACTCAGTCACTATGGGTAGGGCGGATGCCCTAAATACTGCAAGTAAATCAACACAACACCACAAAACCACGATCAACCGTGATAGGAGGATGTCCTTGTCCCCTTGCTCGCAATATTTAGGGCTCCCGTGCCTACAAACGCTTCCAGAAGCCACGCCTCCAAGGTCAGCGGAAAGCCCCCAGGCAGCGTGATCGAGGCCACCTGGCTCCAAGCAAAGCTCCGCATTCTTCGCAAGTGACGTTCGGACCGCCAGGGGAAATGTGGCAACTGGCAAATGGAAAGCGCAGGCCAAGCACTCGGACCCTGGAAGGGCTTAATTAACAGCCCGGTTTCGCGCTGAACTGGCCGAGGGCAACTCGCAAGCAGTTGGATTTCACGGAAGCCGCTACAACCTAGGCTCGCACGGCGAGCGAGTTTCCAAGGGCCCTGGCCGGTCGACCCCGAAGGCGAAGACAGTTCACATGATTCATGCCATGCAACATTCGCAATGTCCACGAGCCAGGTCCCGGAGCCCTGATGAATTTTTGAAGCCGGAACGCGGAATGATTCATATCCGTCCATAGTAGCTTCCTTGAGAAGCCGACAATGGCCAGACGAGCAAAAAACTTCGACTCAATTTGCCAGAATATGGACATTAACAAACAAACACACTTGAACCCGAAAGCCTTTGTCCCGCTAAAGCTTGTCTAGCAACCAGGAAGCATCAACATTGTGCGTCAGCGTGCAGAAAAACAAGAGTAGAAATACTTGCGCCAACCACAAGACCATTCACGCGCAAGCAAGTCTACAAGAATGCTGCATTGATCTGTGTTGTGACTCTGCGTGGCGAAGGCAGCCAATTAAGGGCAGCAGGGCCGCTACAAGCAGTCCGTTTGGCTTCCCCAGTGGCGAACAACTTGCCTGCAGGTCCCCCCACACCCCCGGCCTGCAAAGAGCTGCCCAGCAGAGTTACGGCAAACCTGTACGGGGGCCACAGAAAGGAACCAAAAAAAACAAACCCAAACAAAACTGCTTCAAAGGAACAACCAAACACCAAACCACCTGTAGGGAGGTCTTCAAAATGTGAGCATGATATAGAAACCAACTTGACTCCTTGCCATCGAGTCACTCCACTGCCACATCCTCCAGCACTTCGAAGGGGATGCAGCCTAACCGAAACCCGGCGTCTCGGAGGGGGGCCAAAATTGAGGGTTAGGGGTCGTCTGCGCATGCCATGTGTCAAATGCTTCGGGCCAGTCCCAAGGAAGGTAGAATTCAATGTTCGTTGCAGGTTGCGAATGAAATGCAAGCCCTTTTGTTGAGCTGCCATGACCTTGGGCCTAACTGGAAGTGCACTGCTTAGCATATATGCACTCATCCAAACTGGGGTGACCATGTGGTTGGCAAACTATGCAAGCATGTTGCTCACTTAACTTCCTGGGCTCCTGGACTTTTAACTTTTAATAAGACAATATTTAGAGGCAACCAATCCACTCAGAAAAGTAAGGTTAGGGCGCCACATGCACGGGTAGCAAAGTCCCCACCAAGGAACCAGGGCGTCCCAACAGGCAATGAACCAAGCGTCATAGTGTTCCCTTCACTGGGGCCACGCTTGAAACCAAAGGTGGAAGGACAACCCTTTGTGACCCACGCGCGAAGAAACGCCGGAGGACGAATCTGCGTGGTTTACCACGCTCAATTAATGGAGGGGGTGTTGACTAAAAGCATGGCCCCAATTATGGAAGGATCTTTTTTGGGCGAGGCACCACACGCAAGCAGGCCAGGTTTTGCCCTAAAAAAATGACCTTCTGTTTCCTATAAGTCATGCCCCCCACCCCAACCCCCCAACCCCCCAACCCCCCCACCCCCCCACCCCGCCACCCCCCTGCTTACCCAGGAATCAAAGGCGCCTGGAACTGATTGAATTCATCAAGCGGCGTGGGAGGGCATGGGAATCCAAAGGCAGCTGCTGAGGCAGCGCGTGCTCTGGATCCACCTCGATGAAGAAGTCGCTTCGGCCTGAAAGCTGAGGCGACAGCTTCGTCCAACGGGAAACCCTTCAACAATGCATCCCAAACCAATCTGCTTGGCAAGGATGTAGGTCCTCTGAATCAGCTGTAAGCGATTATCGAAATTGCCAACATGTGTTTTTGAGGGACGAGCTGCTGGCCTTGCTAAGATGGTTTTCCAACAGCCTTCTGTCCACTTCCAAGATTGGACGAAGGCCATGAATCTTAATTGGGGCCCCCAAAATGGTATTGTTTTGCCTCATAAACTATGACCATCCATCATTTGAGAGGTCCCTATCAAAACTCATGGCCATGGCGTCGGAGTGGCTTGGCGCGGCTTGGCGCGGCGTGGCGATGTGCGGATTCTTGGGTGGGGAAGCTCACCAGTTCGAATGACGCCAAACACCCCCGACCCGCCAAGCAGCACCCCGGTTTGCTTTGCACTGCGCGCTGAGGCACAGCATGTTTCACACTCAAGCTGAAGCAAAGCAAAGCATCGGGTGGTCTAGAAAGCGGTACGGGATCGGGTCCCATCTGCACATTCGTGAACCAACGCAAGTGGCTGCAAAGCCTCCATGTGTCTACGAAACCAGGAAAACCTTAGCTCGCCAGGTTGCCAGCACTTGTGGATGACACAACATGAAGCCGCTTATCAACGCGTTGGCCCCTTCTCATTCTCAGAGGTGGCATGGTGAAGTGGAAGCACTTCTTGAAGGTAATTAAGTTTTTTGTTCACCCCTAGGTGAAATACCATGAGAGCTTCCGTGATGACCTATATTACAGGAAGCACTGGTTGCAAGATAAGTCAACAGCTTGCATCCCGCGAGCCGCTCGCGACACTCCTGCTCAGAGACTCAGCTCGCTGCGGCTGTCTCTGCTCTTCCTCGATCCATGCAAAGACACTCTGGCATTCAGAATTTATCTGGCTTGTTATTGATTTATCAAACGCTTGATGTCACAGTTTCAATCATTGTTCTTTTCAACCAGCTGGCTTCTTCGGTTTTTGCGGGTTTTCTGAAAAGGCCTTCTGGAAGGAGGAGCTACTCTTACCCCCCCCCCCCACAAACTCAACCGTTCAGTGGGCACCTAAGACCATTCGACGGAAAGAGTGCTCCCTTGCCACAAGCGACCGCTGATTGTTTGGCCCAGCAGGGACAAGAAAGGCAAGTCTTCAGAAATGAAGGACTGCCCCCGAGCGAAATCCGTCCAAGCCACTGCGTGCGGAACGACTTATCCACATGCCGAGGTTTGAGGCACTACAAAGCCAATTAGTAGCAACCACGGGGCAAGAATGTTTGTAGCTGTTGGCCCCATACAGGCAAATCAAAGCAACATGAGAGCAAGCGCGGCGAGCTCGGGCAACTCGCGTTTAGCAAACATTTTTGGAGGCCCACGCGCCACCAGACCAAATTGAACAAACATTGCAAGCGAGGAAGCAAGCACACAAACAAACAAAGACACACCAACACACACGACTGAAACCTAGCCGCATGGTGGCTGCGAGGGAAAAAGGCCAACTGGGACCAATTGAACCCCACTGCCCCGTCCCGTCAGCCAGAGACTCAGCACGCCAGAGAAGCGCCTGCGCGACAGGTGAACATCTTCAGAATATCACCATATATCACCCCTTCCTGGCAGGGACTGAGGGGAACCGGGAAAAAAAATAAACACACACATATATATATATATACAGGATATGAGCTCCAGGAAACAAGGAGAAATGCAGTATCAGACCTTCCTAAATGATACATCCGCGCCCCTCAGCTCCATCGGAAGATTTAGTTGCCCCAACAGAGCGACAACCGTTTCGAGGGTTCCTTGAAGGACACACCCAAATCCATCTGCTGTTTCTAGGGGATCCTCCAACAAGGCTGGTATTAAAAAGAATAAGCATGGACAAAACCCAGATTTCGCCAGCTGGTGAACATGCAAAGAGCCCATGCTGGGAAACCCGCAGGGTGATCACATGCAAATGTACCGGAAGGCATGTGCAAAGACGAGACCGCCAAAACCGGCGAATTCCGCTTGCAGAGAAAGGCTAAGCTGTTGGGATGGCTGAAAGAAGCTTCCCCCTTCACGCTGAATGAACTGCCCAGGTGGCTTTCCTTTTGGCTAACCAACCCCAGAACGCCCAACAACACTCACAAAACTAAACACGCATAGCGATAGACAAGTGCGCTGTACTAGGCATCCCGGCTGCAGGTCGGAGTCAGCCAGCATCATCTGTGCTTGAGCCCCATAGCGACTGCGAGGGCTGCGAGGGATGAGGCCCAACTTGCGCGGAGAGCAGTGGTATGAAAACCATCATAGCACGGGGTCCGGAAGAATCGCTCATGCTCACCGCGCGGAGCAAACCGCAAACGCAACATCCTTCTGACTGCCTCATGTGCTGAGCCCTTGTTACTTCCCACCACTGGCGAGTCTGCCAAGTGTAGAAACCTTCTTGAGGTTGGTGATTGAAGCCTTTCATACTGCACCTTGTTGCAGGATTTCGATGGGGGATGCTTGGGTTCTTTGCCAGAAACGGGTCACCGAATTGGAGCTGCCCTGATGACTCGCAGCCAAAAGGGGGGGGGTGCCTGTGCCAATCAGGGGCAATGATCACGATTGGCAGAAAAACAAAATCGCCAACCTGTTTCACAAGTGACCGACAAAACCAATGTTCAGGGGATTCCGGCCGCAAACCAAATTCCTAGCGCGTTTGCGATTTGCTCGGTGAGATTGGAGTTGCAAACCATCCCCGACCTTGCGCCAAGGCTGCGGCATCCTTCCAGACCTCAGCCGGCAAGGAGCACCATACACGCCAACCAATCGAAAACCAAAAAACACGCCTGGCTTGCGCTGACTTGGGGGGGGGGTGTGGAATAACTGCACAAGGGAGCCATATTATAAATTTCGGATTGATCTGGAGGGCTCCGGGGTCATGCTACCATATGCTGCCACTCGCAGTTTGGCTCTCACTTTCAGCCTGTCGGGAGGACAACTATCCCCAACAGGCGGACCAAGACACATCCGTTCGCACTCATGCAGAGCTGCTTTTTTTCCACCGCGGGGACATTTCGGGAAAACTGTCGCAAGCATTTCCGGATGTGGTGTGGGTCCAACGGCTGCAACCCCAAGGTTCGGGTGCCCCGACCTGGTCAAAGTCACTGGTCGACTTGGACACCAGGTGCTGGCACCTGCGACTGTAAGGCTCTTGACTTAGCGGCCGCAGGCCGACTGGACGTCTGGATTCATGGCCCAAACCCCAGACTCACGCGATGGCTGCACAAATAATAGCAACTCAAAGTGTCCATCCCAACTTGCCACAAAACAAACACCTTGATCTTGAGGCCAAATAGAGGGTCTGGAACGAAACCAGTTGGATGCTGACAAACAGTGGCCGTTCTTGCCCCCCGGCACTGGCCATGATTTTGACAACAGCCTAGAGAGAAACGTCATAGGGCCGAATCCAAACTCAGGCCGTCCTACCCCTTTCCACGTGCCGTGTCATTGGCTAACTTGGTGGGTTTGTCTGATTGCTATAACTGAACAGACTGAGGGGGGCGCATCCTATTGGCATACTTGTAGGAGATCTTGTGGTCAGAAATTGCCAAGCCGAGGGCTGAGAATGAGGTTCTCGAAGGTTTTTGAAGAACACCTGGTGCTCTTTGCGGCAACAGATTCAAAGGGAGCTCGGGGCAAGCACTTGGTGCTGACTGGAGACTGCAAGCGCTAAACTGGTTGATGGTCGAATGTCGAAATCTGAGATGCGCGCTCAGCCAAAAGCATCTGGAACTCTTCCTTGGACAAGTGGCCCGACCTGAGCATGTCTCTCCGGTCGCAGCGAGGCGAGGATTCTTAGTTCGCCCGTCAGGAAGAGTATTGCAATTCCGAAAACCATCAAATGTGCGAAGGAAAAAAGACACACACACACAAATTTTGACAAAATTCAGGGTGAATGTTGAACATGACGGGTCCCCACGAGGGCTTCACGATTGAGCTCAGCTTGCCGTCAACCTGAGGCTCCTTGAAAGTTAGCAACCAAAGGCCTGCCTCTAACAACAGTCGCTTGTGTGCTACCAACTGGACCCCAACCGCATGTCCTCATCCTTGAGCCGCCTGCACCCTGCACTCAACAGGAAGACCCACCGTACCGTGTTATCTGAGGGCAACCCAGAAGTGGCAACACTAATGCCTCTTCGGGTAGCCCTAACGCATCCAGTTTTACCTCAACTCATAGCGATAGACGGGCTCAAAGTGTTTTCTCTTGAGAACTGGGTCGGTGTCAAAATGGAGGGCTGGCCAATTGATCAGCCACTACCAAGCGGACCTGCGCTACCCAAGGCAATTATCATGGAACAGCCCAGGAAAATGAGGGCCCAGCCGAAAGTGCAAAACATATTTGTTCCTATTCCTTTCTTTCCCGGTTAAACTTTTCTGCTTCCTCTGGAAGTCAAAGGCCGGTCTGGGCCGATCATTGGAGCGACCCCAAAGGACAGGGAGACCTGAGCAAATTATCGGAAAATCTGGGAACCCCTAATTCAGGACCTTCATCATGGGCGAGTCCGTTTGCTTTGCAGATGAGTGCAACTGAGTTCGTTTTACCCTAAGGTGAGCACGGTGTAATTTGCCCAGAAAAAATGCACGCTCTGTCCTAGAGCACCGGCTCGTCCGGATCGTGGTAGCGAAAGAGCTGCCTGGCTTCGAAAAGAACGGTGGCTGTCAATAAGCTGGCTGGTTATAGTGGGCGGCTACAGTAGGTGTGTAGTCGTTGGTGGGTGGCTAGCCCACTTGCAACCAAAGCAGCTTTGCAAACAAGGTGACAAGCATTTGCAACCTTGACTTGACGTCGCCAAACATGGCCAACCATCAATCACTTCACATTTCATCCCAATAGGGCGCCTCCGGAAGCTCTTCGCCACAAAGGGCCCAAAAGAACTTGGGACATGAGTGGCTTCGCAGGTCTGTTGTCCACAGCTGCTTTCCCGCAAAGAAGCGAGCTGGGGAGGTGAGATATGGGCAACTTGCGGCTGGAACGAACACCGTGACGCCAGGGTGAAGAAATAGCGAGCCATAAAACAACCGCCCATCACCACCGTGTTCGCAAAACGTCTTGTCAATGACCGCGGTTGGAATACATCATGAAACATCGGTTTTACTTGGAGAAAGAGCTGCACGAAACAAGTTGATCAATTGGAATTCAGAGCGAGAATGATGTGCACTTGGAACATGCGGGAATGCCTCTGTTTCAAGCAGTTGTGTGGCTTTCTTTGACTTGATATGAATTGGGAGGAACAAGAAAGAAACAACGTTCCGAGAAAGAAATAACAAGAACCATTTCATCAAAGGTGAAAAGCAAGATGCAGAAGAACAAAGCAAAAGACTAAAGATAAACACAAAGAAGGAAAAGCATGAAAGAAAAGGAGCTGAAAAGAGGGAAACACACTGAAAGTGAGGGAGAGAGAGAAGAGAAAAGAAGAAGGGAAAGAGAAAGAAAGACGCGAGCAAAAGGGAGAGAGATAAACAGACAGAAAACTATAAAGATAACAAGAGAAAGAGCGAGAGAGAAAGAGGGAGAGAGAAAGAGGGAGAGGGAGAGAGAGAGAGAGAGAGATATAGAAAGAGCAATGCGAAGAAATGGACAAAGAGAGTTGGAAAGAGAACGGAAAACGGGAAATGGAGAGGTACAAAAATAAATACAGAGGAGAAATAACGAAAGCCGGAAAGAGACAGAGAGAGAGACAGAGAGAGAGAGAGACAGAGAGAGAGCGAGAACGAGAAAGACAGAGAGAGAGAGAGAGACACAAACGAGAAAGATAATGATGAAAGAGACAGATGAGGAAAAAGACAAAAGGCAAACACATAAAAACAGAAAGAGAAAGAGCAAGGCACAAACAAAACAGAGGAAGACAAGGAGTAAAAAAGGTACTCCAAACTATGGTGCTATCTTTGCAACTTCCACTTCCCGGCACGGAGCTGGACAATACGGGCATGGATTGAACCAATAAGATGACCCATCAAACAATCGCACAACATCAAGACAACATATAGTCCATGGTGTGAATTATTTCATGTGCGGACAGGGCTATCGAGGACTGCAACAAGAACCTATATTCGAAGTTCATGCCAACACATTCCTGAGGATCAACAATATATTCCAACCTCGGGCTGGTCATACTGAGGCCCTCTGTAGCTACCCAGAGGCTGGACAAACTTGAGGGGAGGTGGGCACCCTTGAGCTGTGAAGCCTGGCGTAATCTCTGCAAAGGCGTGCCACCCATCTAAGCTGCTGAGCACCAGGGCTCAGAGCACAAAGTCTCGCAAGCACATTCACCAAAGACTCTCCAAAGATGCGCAGCGCGCACCAGCAACACGCACAGCAGAAATGGGAATCAACTGCGCAAGCGCGAACACCATGCTCATGGCCCGTGGGAACACCTGCCGGCAGCACCAAATCGATTCGAACTCTGGCTTCTGTCCTTCTGCAAACCTGGCAGGCCGCTGGCCGGCGCCCAAGCCCCGAGTCAGCTATGCTGCGAGAAGAGCCAACAAAATCCAACAACAAACACAAAGAACAAGCACTGCCCAAAAACATTGTTGTTGCGGCTATGGCTGCTGATGTGGTTGTGGTTGCAGTAGTGGTTGTGGCTGAAGTTATTGTGGTGGCGGTTGTTGCTGCTGCTGCTGCTGCTGCTGCTGCTGCTGTGGTTGTGGTTGTGGTGGTGTTTGTTGTGGTGGTTGTTGTTGCTTTTGTTTTTCTGTTTGTTTAGTTTTGTGTGTTGTTGTTTCTATTGTTTGTTTTGCTTGTTTTGCGGTTGTTGCTTTCTTTGCGTTTTATTGGTATTGTTTGTTCTTGTTCGTTTTTTGTGTGTTTGTGTTTGTGTTTGTGGTTGTGTTTGTTTTGTGCTGGTCTTTGTTCTTGTTATTCTTGTTGTTGTTGTGGTTGTGGTTGTGGTTGTTGCTGTTGCTGTTGCTGCTGCTGCTGCTGCTGTTGCTGTTGCTGTTGCTGTTGCTGTTGATGTCGCTGTTGCTGTTGCTGTTGCTGTTGCTGTTGCGGTTGCGGTTGTTGTTGTTGTTGTTGTTGTTGTTGTTGTTGTTGTTGTTGTTGTTGTTGTTGTTGTTGTTGTTGTTGTTGTTGTTGTTGTTGTTGTTGTTGTTGTTGTTGTTGTTGTTGTTGTTGTTGTTGTTGTTGTTGTTGTTGTTGTTGTTGTTGTTGTTGTTGTTGTTGTTGTTGTTGTTGTTGTTGTTGTTGTTGTTGTTGTTGTTGTTGTTGTTGTTGTTGTTGTTGTTGTTGTTGTTGTTGTTGTTGTTGTTGTTGTTGTTGTTGTTGTTGTTGTTGTTGTTGTTGTTGTTGTTGTTGTTGTTGTTGTTGTTGTTGTTGTTGTTGTTGTTGTTGTTGTTGTTGTTGTTGTTGTTGTTGTTGTTGTTGTTGTTGTTGTTGTTGTTGTTGTTGTTGTTGTTGTTGTTGTTGTTGTTGTTGTTGTTGTTGTTGTTGTTGTTGTTGTTGTTGTTGTTGTTGTTGTTGTTGTTGTTGTTGTTGTTGTTGTTGTTGTTGTTGTTGGTGTTGTTGTTGTTGATGATGTTGGTCTCGTTGTTCTTGTCGTTGTTGTTGCTGTTATTGTTGCTGTTGTGGTTGTTGCTATTGCTGTTGCTGTTGCTGTTGCTGTTGCTGTTGCTGTTGCTGTTGTTGTTGTTGTTGTTGTTGCTGTTGCTGTTGCTGTTGATGTCGCTGTTGCTGTTGCTGTTGCTGTTGCGATTGCGGTTGTTGTTGTTGTTGTTGTTGTCGTTGTTGTTGTTGTTGTTGTTGTTGTTGCTTCTGCTGCTGCTGTTGTTGTTGTTCTTGTTGTTGTGGTTGTTTTGTCGCTGTCGTTGCTGTTGCTGCTTTGGTTGTGGTTGTGTTTGTTGCTGTTGCTGTTGCCGTTGTCGTCGTCGTTGTTTGTTGTTGTTATTGTTGTTGCTGTTGCTGTTGCTGTAATTTCTTCTTGTTCTTGTTCTTGTTTTGGTTCTGTTAGTGTGCTTGTTCTTGTTGTTGTTCTTGCTCTTGTTGCTGCAGTTGCTGTTGCTGTTGCTGTTGCTGTTGCTGTTGCTGTTGCTGTTGTGGTTGCGGTTGTCATTTTTGTTGTTTTTGTTGTTTTTGTTGCTTTTGTTGTTCTTGTTGTTGTTGCTGTTGTTGTTGTTGTTGTTGTTGTTGTGGTCCGTGTGCTTGTGCTTGTGCTTGTGCTGGCGCTTGCGGTTGCAGTTGCGGTTGCGGTTCCGTTGCGGTTGTGGTTGTGGTTGTGGTTGTGGTTGTGGTTGTGGTGTTTGGTTGTGGTTATGGTTGTGGTTGTGGTTGTGGTTGTGGTTGTGGTTGTGGTTGTGGTTGTGGTTGTGGTTGTGGTTGTGGTTGTTGTTGTTGTTGTTGTTGTTGTTGTTGTTGTTGTTGTTGTTGTTGTTGTTGTTGTTGTTGTTGTTGTTGTTTTTGTTTCTGTTGTGGTTGTGGTTGTGGTTGTTGCTGTGGTTGTTGTTGTTGCCGTTGCCGTTGTCGTCGTCGTCGTTGTGGTTGTTGTAGTTGTAGTTGTAGTTGTAGTTGTAATTGTAGTTGTTGTTGTTGTTGCTGTTGTTGTTGTGGTGGTGGTGGTGGTTGTTGCTGTTGCTCGTGATGTTGCAGTTGTTCTTCTTGTTATTGTTACGAGTATTGTTCATGTTCTTGTTATTGTTATTGCTATTGTTATTGTTTTTGTTCTTGGTCTTGTTCTTGTTGTTGTTGTTGTTGGTGCCGTCGTCGTCGTCGTCGTCGTCGTCGTCGTGGTTGTTGTTGTTGTTGCTGCTGCTGTTGTTGTTGTTGTTGCTGTTGTTGTTGTTCTTGTTGGTGTTGGTGTTGGTGTTGGTGCTGGTGTTGTTGTTGTTGTTGTTGTTGTTGTTGTTGTGGTTGTTTGTCGTCGTCGTTGTCGTCGTCGTCGTTGTCGTCGTCGTCGTTGTCGTTGTTGTTGTTGTTGTTGTTGCTGTTGCTCTTATTGTTATTGTTGTTGTTATTGTTCTTGTTCTTGCTACTGTTCTTGTTCTTGTTATTGTTATTGTTCTTCTTCTTCTTGTTGTTGTTGTTGTTGCTGTTGCTGTTGATGTTGCTGTTGCTGTTGCTGTTGCTGTTGTTGGTGGTGGTGGTGTTGTTGCTGGTGGTGGTGGTGGTGCTGTTGCTGCTGTTGCTGCTGCTACTGCTGCAGCAGCTGCTTCTGCTGCTGTTGCTGCTGTAGTTGCTGTTGCTGTTGCTGTTGCTGTTGCTGTTGCTGTCTGCTGCTGTGGCGGCGGTGGTGGTGGCAGTCGCGGCAAGCCTGGCAAAGCACAGTGAACAAACAAACAAACAAACAAACAAACAAGACAAAACAAAAGACACAAACAAACAAACAAACAAACAAACAAACAAACACACAACCAAACAATCAAACAAACAAACACGCAAACAAACAAAACATACACACACACACACGCACACCCATCTTGACCATCTTAAAAACAACAAGAAAAGGACAACAGCACGGAGACGAGCAGTTAAACAACAGAAGCAACATAACTTAACAAACAGGCCAACACACAGTAACCATAGCACACTCACACGGAAGACATGAGAGCTGACGCAAAGGGTGCCGTTGACATGGCGTTCAATGGACTTGCCGGGTCCACTGCACCAAGCCGTAGCGGTAGTTCCGGTCCCCGGGGTGCGCAAACCTGAGGCTTAAAGGTGGCGGCAGCGGGGCTGGTCCCGGGGATGCCCAGCGATGGATCATGGCCCAGCGTCGGGCGTTATCCTGAACTGCCAACACTTTGGTATCCGCCAAGCATAATTTTTGGGAATACCGCGTTATGTGGGAAAAGAGCAAACGAACACACACACACACACACATACACACACACACATACAGGGAACGCGGTGTCTTTTCCAACGAATAGTGGTTGAACAGCACGCGGTTTCTCGCAAAACAGGTCTTCCCAATGATGAAGTCTTCGCTTGTGATTCCAGCCAAGCAGGTTGAAAACTGGACATTTCCAGTGAGTACTACCCATGACTGAGGGAACGGTCAATACTTCCACTCTCAGGGTTGCTCCCCTGTCACAAGGAATGCAGAACAAAGAAGGACTGCAAGTTAGTTGTCTACTCCTGAGTTCATGATCATCTTTAAGATGCTTGAAGCCCTGTCACGCGTCGCCGGACTTTGCCGGAGCTGCTTCACATCGCCGGCACGTGGTGATGCGGGTCAAGCCCGGATAGGTCTTGTCGATATAGCCATTGCCTCCGGCCACCAGCACTTTGGTTCGCACCTGCGCCGAGCGCGGCTGACCGCACACCAGTGACCCATTTGCAAGGAAGAAGCTTTGAAACCAACATGGTTGGATGAAGTCATGTATATGTCTCTTTCCTTAGTTATTGTGCTTGGCCGGGTCGCATCTCCGTGTTCCGAATGTGTCAACTCCGTCTGCTATTGCGCAGCCTAGGTGTCCTTTGCACAAAATCGATGGGACCAGCAAAACAATCGAACACAAACAAGAGCCGTGCCACCTTTTCATCTCAACTGGGCGCCATGCCCAGCCTGGGCCTTCTCAGGGGAAGCCCCACCAGCAAAGAAGATGTCGCCGTATTTGAAGTTGAAGTCACTGAGCTGTCCTCCCTCCCAGCCTTCCAGTGGTCGCGAACCACCCACCACCTCACCAAAAGGTACAAAACCTAGGGAGTCCAGGCGCGCTGAGTTGTCCACCAGGTTGATGAAAACCTTGGAGTTGCCATGCCCATCACGCTTCAAGCTTTCGGTATGGTTCGCGGTGGGTTTCCTCTACTTTACCCTTCCGACCAGAAAACGAACACGACTCAGGTTGGGAAAATTCCAACTTCATCCTGGCAACTTTCGCCAATGCCCAAAAAAGAAGTTCACCTTACGACCGCCTTCAATCAACTCCAAGACGCTTCGGTTTTGGTGGTTCCATCGTCTTCCTGGCCGAAGCAAACGGTGCCCGCCAGGTTCTTCTGCCGCCTCCCAGCCGCATCCCGTTCCGCAGGCTTGGCCCAGGGCAGCTCCTGGTAGAGCTGGCTGTGGGGATCCGCTCCGTTGGAGGCACCCGCGCAGGGGCCATAGTTCCTGGGCCAAACCATGCAACCAGGAGGATTTGTTTCCCTTGTTGAAGGAGTTTTTTTTACGGGACCCAGGAGCATTGAGAGCTTTTTTCGTATTGAAGGAGTTTCTTACGGCTTGCTAAAGCACCCAACGCGAGCACGGTTCAAAGGAAAAAGGATGAAAAAGGTCCGTTAAGTCCGCTACTAGTTCCAGTCCAGCACGAAACCCTCGATGGCGCGGCAGAACCGCTGGCCGTTCAGAAACTGAGAGTCCACCAACTTCAGAAACCGATCGCAAGAAAAGGGCGCCCAACTGGGATGCAGGTCAAGGAGGACATGCCCACTCCCACCAGTCTCGGTCTCGTAGTCGATGCGCACACGGATGCACTCCTCTGCCATGGTAGGCTTGCAAAAGGTACTATGAGTGCTAGTGCGACTAGGTACCTGCGCTGTGAACAAACTCCAGTGACAGGTTCCACTGTTTCTGGCTCCCCAACGTCTTGTCTGATGCAATGTCAATCCTTGAGCCGTGCAAATGTCCCTTGCATCTTTCTCCCTACCATGGGTGATGCGTATCTATGGATGGGGTGGTGCGCCTGGCTAGCATTCACGGGGTGCTGGGCCGCTGGGCAAGAGTTCCAAGCTGTTGGCAATTGTTTGCGCCTTGCCGGACTTAAACAGCACTCTTATCTTCGCCTGAGTGCTCTCAGAACATGAGCGCGGGTTGCACCCAAGGCTGAATGTAGACATCCTGAAGCTGCCCAATTTTGGCAAGCTAGCTAGTCGCGTTTAGGCAAAAAATGCCACGGCTTTTTATGTGGCCGTAGATGTACGCACGATCCACATGTGCGCTCTGCTGTGAAGCCCCGGCAAAGACCTTTTCCAATCATTACCAAAATGGCCTTCGACACTTAACAAAGTGAACATGCGGGTGTGTTTTTCCTCTTCAAACCCAGTGATGCCTTATATTGTTCAAAGCAGCTGGTGTCTTTTTCCTACCTTGTCATGTCAGCACGCCGCGTGAATCGGAGCGCCAAACATGCAAAGAATCAAACCGAACCCAAATGGCAAGAGTAAAGCCTCCCTGGAGATGAGCTTCGGTTGCAAACAAACTGCAAACCACCAGTTGCCGTGGCCCCTCCATCTTTCAGAAAGCTACATAGCTGGATACACCTCGTTTACCTGCAAATATGCTGCGAGGTTTCGGGTGCGCCGCTGAGCCTCCGCGCCTTGCGAGGTGCCCTTTGTCCCTGACAGACTGGAATTCAGGTAGGGCCAAGAAGTCTGCCAAAAGAAAGGTATGGCACGAACTGCAACTGCCTCGTAAGCTTGGCGGAATCATAGGCTGACCTGAAATATCCTCCAATTAAACATGACGAATCGCATCACATCAAGTACCAGCCAGCTTTGCAGGCTTTCAAGTTGTCAAGCGTGGGTGGTTGAATCCTTCTTTTGGCCTTGGTCAGGCTCCAGGTTAGTGGATGGGCAGCTGCAAGGGAATCCTCGGGTAGAACGTTCAGACTCACTCAGGTTTGTCACCGAACCCCCACCCCCCAACTGGTGTAGCTTGAATCCGTGCCCAGTTCCAGTTGCCCGTGGGAAATTCTCGGCGGGGAATCCCTCGAATTAGCAGTGTCACGCTAATTCATGCAAGGTCAGCATCTGTTGCGTCCAAAGAAGATGTCGGCACAGCATTAGCATGCACCCATTTGCAACGAAAGCTGCAAACAAGGGCTGTGGCCAAAAGATAGTATGTGGATTTGTTCATGCAAGCAACATTTCCCTCCCCACACCTCTGGTAGCAGCTGGAGCCGTACTTGCACGCGGTCCTGAGGTGAGGCGGTCCGAAGATTTGGCCGGCTGTCAAGCGAATAGCTTCGACAATGGCGCTTATCCACTCAGCAATTGATTCGGACACAATCAGTCACTACCGCCTGATCGCTCCAACATGATCTGCTAGTTTCCTCAATCCCATAAGGGTCTCATACAGCTCCAGCAGCATCATCTGCCAGCTCCATGAGACTGCGTCATGAGATGCCAATACGTCAAGTCTGGAGGTAAGAAATTTTGTTTCTGCCGACTGGAGGCCATGCTGCTTAGCACAGGAGTTCAACCGCTAACGCGCGAGATTGACGAATAAGGTGAAGCAAACCTGGCATGCAAAATTGGGTATAGCTTCTCTCTGTTGTCTTGTGTATTTCCGTTTTTTTCTTCAGATAGTTGGGGTGGTTTGGGGCAGCTTTTAGGGAGGGTTCAGGAGGGTTCCAGGAAAATTCCGGGTCTGTTGGAGATCCCACCTGAGCGTTTCTTTTGGGCGTGGCCGGGGGGCAAAAGGGGAGGGTACATCAAAACACACGCTTCAAGCGTTCCTACGTGGATCTTCGTCGGTATGCAAACGCGCAACAGGTGCAAGCCTGCGCGAGTACTTCGGCAAAATGCGCCGCGAGCACCTACACGCACATTTCCACCAGCTACTCTTTAACGACAGCGAAACACGTGGGGGCCCGGCTGGAAAATCGATGTGCCTCCTTTAGCTCAAAACAACAATCATTCGGTGATACTAAGCACCCCCTTCCTGGATCGCTCCCAAAGCCAATGAGCAACTGCTTCAAGGTGCGTCCCCAAACAAAGTAAGCCAACGATCACATGCGCAAGAAAGTCCTAAAGACATGGACTGACTAAGTGGTGAGACTCCGATAAGCGGCGATTTCTCGCTAACCCCTGCAGGGTCTAGAGTTCCAAGTCGCCATGCTTGGCATGGTAATTATTCTGCGAATCCTTTTTACGGCCAGTGTTTTCAGTTGAATCTTTAGTTTCCTTGGTCTCAGAAACTTGGTTTCGCCTTGGTTTGCCTCAGGAAAGCAACGAGGAAGCGGCCCAGCTTCTTTTGAGCAGTTCAATTCGGACGGAAAGAATTGCCCCTCAATCCCGGGCCCCGGAGCGCCTCAAGCACGGAGATGAATCCTTAGGAATCCGGACTCGTCGACATCAAGTTGACCCTGGGTTACTTAAATGACGCGATAACTCAAAAACATAGATTTGGATCGTGAAGACAATAAAACAGAGCTCGGCAAAGATTCAACCTGGTGCAATGTGATGCCCCCGATCCTCTTAAACAGGCCACTGACACCCCAAATTCAACACCCAATACATGCATGACATTAGACGGGCATCCAATCTGTTTTCTGGGCACCAGCTTTTCCTCAAACGCACTTTCTCTCTGGGTTGCGTGAAAGACGGAATTTGTAGCGCCCAGCACAGGGCAGACAACTCAGTGTGTCAAGGTGGGCATGGATTCAGCAGCCGCTTGTGGTGAGGGCCCTGCAAGGCATGAAATGCATGCTGCTAAAGTGTCAGCACGTCCTTTGTGTTTGAGTTGTTCCTTGAGATATTAAAAAACAAAACAAAAAAAACGGCTGCACAAAGAAAGAAGACAGCCTGGCTCGCAAAGACGATCCAAGCTTAGCGAAACTATCTCACTTCAACTTCTCTACTAGAGGGGGCACAGCCAAACAAAACGACCGTACGCATGAGAATCAATGCATAAGCCACGTCCTCAGTAAGAATCTTTACTTCTGCCAATTCAAGCCCTTGCAAGATGACGCCGCCAGGCACATGTGTGACCATGCAAGACCTTGGAGTCACGAAGCTGGGGGCTCTGTTCTTTGGGCTCCGATATCTTCGCGCATAGGGTGCACTCTTTGACAAGTGTCCATCTGGAATCTGAACCCTGGATGGCTTTCGGAGGGCAACCAGGGAGCACAAAGGGCAAGCCCCTCTCTTAGCAAGCTCACCAAAGCTCCCATCAAGTAAAACTGGTCTAAACAACACGGCAGCCACATGAAAGCATTGGCATGTGGGTTTGCTTGCAGTTCCCTTGCCTGAGGCCCCCCGCCTCAGATGGGTGCGCCTTGGCGAGTTGCGGGTTGGTCAGTGATCCTCTGGGCATTCATTGCAAGTAGGAACCAGGAAATCCCAATCTGCACCAGTTGCTCTAACTCGCCAACCTGAACTAACGAAGGCCGCCTTGTTTTGCGGATTTTTGACCGGGTCATTTTGGGGAGGGCTTAGGGTGGCTTTGGGGTGCTTAGAATATGTTTAGGTTTCGGTGAGTGTAGGGTGGGGGGTTTTGGTGTGGAGAGGGTTTAGCGGGGTGTACAATGGGGTTTAAGCTTATGTGGGTTTAGGGTAGGTTTAGGATAGGTTTTAGGCTGGGTTTAGGTGGGATGGGTTTACGGTGGGTTGAGGGTCAGTTTAGCATGGCTTTCGGGTAGGCTTCGGTGGTTTTTATCAATTTAGTGTGGCTCTCGGGTGGGCTTCGGTGGGTCTTAAGATGGGTTTGTGGTGCGTTTAGGCCGGGTCTAGAGCGTGGGTTTTGGGATGGGTTTGTGGTGGATTTAGGGTTAGTTTACCGTAGGTTTAGGGTGCCTTGCTTGGCTGGCTTGGCTGGCTTGCTTGCTTGGCGGGTGGTCTTGGCAGAATTCCAGCGGGGACAAACGAAACACCAAACAACTATTGTAAATCATGCAACACCCATGAACGACTCCCAAAATACAAGAAGCTTGCGCATGAGTGACCAGGAGGGCGTGCCCAAACATGCCCCATCTAGTTTAGTGCGGTAGCAATATAATTATTGCGGTTTGCAATTGCTTGGTTAAGTTGCAATACTTGGGGCATCAACAAGAGGCTCTGGACTCAGGCCGGTCCACCAGTGCCTCGGAACAATGAATCATCCCGGCATGGTTGACCATACCCTGGAGTGGCTGACGCAGCATAAAGCAAATTACGTCCTGTGCGACGCCGAGATTTGCTGGCGCAGTATCCGTGCACACTTTGCAAACGACCCCCTTCCCCTCCCCTCCCAAGATCCTCCACATGGCCGTCTTTACACGCAGTTGTTTAACGCCCTCCTCTTTCAACGGCCTATGGTCCGTTTGCAACTCCTCACGCCGCTTTCTCCAAGGCATCGGATTTAGCTGCACCGCGGGAAGCGTGCAGGCCAGCAAGCGTCCAAGTCGAAGGAAGCAACCTGCAAGTGGACCAGCGGATGGGTTGAGAAGCCAAAACAGGTTTGTTGCTGCATTCCAAACAAAGGTCAAGCCGAGAGAGAATACACTGGTGCAGATTATTTTCAGTGGGAAGGGCTGCCAAAAACTGTGTCCAATAGTGCAGGTTAATGCAACGATGTGGGTCATGAAATAGTTGAAATGGAGCTGCATGGCGCTTCCAACAGTACCCCCCGATCGCCTGCCCTCCACTTCCTCTGTTGCCTCAATCTCCTTCGGCGTGCGACACTCGGAACGGACCTGCGAAAAGCCCGAAAGGGGAGTTTCCGAGGTTCCACCAAAAATCAAGGATAGATAGGATGACATGAATATATGTTGGACCGGCCTCGACTAAGCAGAAAGCAAACAACAGAAGCGGCATCATGGCCAATGTTCCTTCCATACTGGCCCATATTCAGTGATCTTAAAAGGGAACATAACCTGTACAAAAAGAAGTCCAAAAAACAGCGTTTGGACTCTCCCTCACAAGTCAGCGGACACTTGGGGACGCCGGGACCAGGACGCAACATGAAGCGTCCTCGCCAGCCATAGGATGACATCGGCGCTCCATCCTGGTGAATTCAACCAACGCACAAATCACATCATGGGTGTGTCGCGAAATCGGGGAGCTATCCTAGGCAACCCCAAAATGGTTGGGTTCTCTTTTGGTTTCCCCTTGAAACACTCAAAGAAGGGAACCCTCAACAATTGCATCCTCACATGCCCTCTTACCGGACCAACTGCACATTTCACAAGGCAGCGCCACGCAAAGAAGCAACCTTTCTCCGACTTCTACCAACAGCTCCCTGGGTGCCTAAGCTAGGACCACGCCCGTGTCTGGACATGTTCGAACCGATGCTGATTGGGTGTTCAAAGGGGTCGTTGGCAGGTCTTAGATACGGAGAAAGACACCTTATCGAGGTAGAGCTCCTTGGTGTCTCGAAACACTGCCCAGTTCTGATATTGTGTGATAGCACATGCTCCTGGGATAGGGTCTCTCAGGGTTCTTGCACCACCCTCGTTCAATGTCTGGTGAGCAGAGTCCAAGCGAGCTTGATCATGGGCTCTCACAATCGCATCCCCAAATTGGATGGGGGGACCCGTGCGCTGAAAAGTACTTGAAGACTTGAGTCCAACAAGAGCTGATTGGGGCCTTGAGTTCTCAAGCTCCCGGCCCGCTCCCGGCCCCAAGCTGAAAAACTGTACCGAAGAAGAACCAGATGGCACTTGTTTGCCCTGAATGATTTGAATTGGGGAGGTGTTCCCCCGAACAAGAAGAGCCCTCTGTTCCAGGTCCTCGGAACTTCCACGGAATCGCGGCCTTCGAAACCGGCCATATGGTTTGACCCTCCAGGCCGTGAAGAAAGTTCCCCCCCCCCCCAAGAAAAAGGCATCCACCAAAGGTATGTCAGAGCACCTTCACCGCACCCACGCCCACCCGAAAACGCCCATCAGCTCGCGCCGATCAGCGCGCCTTGCGTGTGGCATTGGCGACGCTTGGCCTCTGCGGCGCCTCCGGCATGCCCTTCCTCGGAAGCCCAGAAGAAAAGTCGAAAGCCGGCGCCCTGCTGTTGAAGGATTCAACAGGAAACCCTCCAAAAATGTCCGCACAGGGTTTTTGTCAACTCCAACAAAGCCGCCCAAGATACCCAAACATCCCAGAAAGCCAGGGAAAATGGAAACACACGTCAAGCATCCCAAGCCCAAAACGCCAAAAAATGCAAGAACAAACCAAGCAGTTAAGATTCTCCGCCACCAGCAGCACCCCCTTGCCCGGCGCTGGTGCCCTGTCCTGCGCACGTGGCAGACTTTTTGTTGGGAGTTCCAACTTTTTGGATCCCGAACAAAGAACTGGGAGTTTTGTGGAAATTTCAAGGGGGATCGTTGTGGTTGGTTTCAGAAGGTGGCCGTGCTGTTCTTCTTGCCTCTTTTTGCCGGAGGAACCCCACTTGGGTTGGCTGCAAAACGTGGGGGTGTTGCCTTTGGGGCAACCCCATCCTGGTTCACTTTCGAAAAGAAACCAAAGGGAAACCAAACTTTGTGTCCCCGAACTTGGAGACACATCTTGGCCATTCCATGTCTTACTTGAAGGGAAGGACGCCCACTTCGTGAACCAGCAGCACGCTCAGCCTCAAGATGCAGCTGTCAATGCAAACGGGGCCAGTATATGTCCAGCGCGCCGCACCGTTTAATTCCCGGATGATGTCAGATGTGACGTTGGAACGGCCAGTCATGGCGTTTACAAGTCTCTACAAAATGGCCGGTTACTCAGGAAATCTTTACAGAGTGGAGGTCTCTCGGGATGTAGAAAACTCACAAAATGGGCTCCACAACACGAGGGTGTTGAGGCTTTGAATCGGTGGCCGCTCGTTCTACCTCTTTCCTGGCTCCCCGCAAAAGTTATTCTGTTACTGGCTGCTTCAGCCAAATCCAAATCCCCCCAAAATGCAAGACCAACCAGCATTTTCATGTCCAAGAACTCCACCCAAGCCCACTCAAACCACATTTTCACGGGCTATAGGCCTTCAGCGGAACCGCACCTCTCACGCCCTCCGCCCTCCCTCATCTCCCCTTCAACCCCCGCTTCCCTCGCCCCCTCCCTTCTCCCCCCTCCCTTCCCCCCCGCTCCTGGAAGAGGCCCTTCAACGCGAGGTCCGGCACTTTCTGCAGGTTCCGCCAGCTGCGCAGCTGCTCCGCCAGCTCCGAGCTGGCGGCCTCCACCCCTGGCGTCGAAAGATGTGGCATGAACAGCTCAACCTTACAAGCCTTCTTGGGTGTCTCTTACTTGTTGTTTTGTTCCTGGGATGGTTGTAGTTGGAGCGTGGAAGATTACTTTTGCCAAACGCGTGTTCCAGCCCTTGACGTGTTCGTCCTCGGCTTATAGGTGGTCGCACTGGCACTGGACAAGATGGCAAGACACAACCCCTTCTCTTGGTTGCTGTAACGACCCCTCTGCAAAAAGCTGTTGGCTTTTGTCCACCGTTTCAAAGTCCAGATCCGATACCCACTAGCCATAAAAAAGTAGTGTTCCAGAATCGACTTGCCATTTTGCCTTGGCAACTGACTAGCTCATGAGGATAGAGAAACTTGCGGTTGATAGGGCCGTCAATGAAGCCTGAGAAAGTGTGTGACTTTTCCGTTGACTCAAAAGGCTTGGCGAGGGCTCCTTGGTTTGTGGTTTGTTTGTGACTCATCAGACTTCCATAGCAACAAGCCGCACTCGCTGCTCATAAGTTGCGCTGGTTTGGTTGCCGGTGTCTGACGTGTAGTCTGCACCCCTGCCGTGTGTGTCTGGCCACTTGCTGATTGCTGGCTGTAGCTTCAAAAGCGTCCTCGTGACAGTTTTTTACCGGCCAGTCCAAAAAGGCAGTTTCAAGGCGGCTTCAACTTGCAACTCTGGGCTTTCGAATCCGCCTTCAGGAACTGGTGGCCGGATCTGAGCAACCAAAGTGCTCCCATCCGGAGCCAGCCTGAGCTACTAGCAACTCACGAATGGTGGACCCATCAGGCACAGGCACAGTGCTTCGGCCAAGCAAACATGAGGGGGGCTCTCTCTCTCTCTCTCTCTCTCGCTCTCCCCCTCCCTCCCTCTCTCTCTCCCTCCCTCCCTCCCTCCCTCCCTCTCTCTCTCTCTCTCTCGCTCTCTCTCTCTCTCTCCCTCTCCCTCTCTCTCTCTCTCTCTCTCTCTCTCTCTTTTTCCTTTTGGTTTCTTTCTCTCTCTCTCTCTCTATCTCTCCTCTCTCCTTTTTCACTTATCTTGTTTCTCTTTCTCTCTCTATCCCCCTCTCTCCCCCTCCCTCCCTCCCTCCCTCCCTCCCCTCCCTCCCTCCTCCCTCCCTCCCTCCCTCCCTCCCTCCCTCCCTCCCTCCCTCCCTCCCTCTCTCTCTCTCTCTCTCTCTCTCTCTCTCTCTCCCTCCCTCAAACTTAGGTATTTTGGCCACACAAGAAGCTCCAATCCGCGCCTCCCGTCATAGAAAAAATAAAGTCAATGGAGTTCACTCCTAAAAAACGCGAAGTCTGTTCTTCCCCAAAATGCGAGGAGGCGCCTGGCGCCAAAGTGCCGTTTCACTTCGCCAGTTCAATTGGCAAGCGTGCGACGCAGGTGCCAAAGCGTTGGCCTCTGTGGGTTTTCTTGACGGCCGGTGTTGGTTGAGAAGGTCGGGGTCGTTGATCTAAACTTCATCCGCTAGTGGGCGTGGAAGAGGCTTGGGGTCCGAGTTCCTTTTCCCGCAACAACTTCTTCGCCCTAGGCCTAAATCATCCATATCTTGGCTCAGCCCGCAGGCAGTGGAGACTATGGCTTGTTTGCCTCTTCAACCATCCCACTTGAGGGCCTTTCGAAATTCACGTCTCCAGGACCTGTGACCCAGGCGAAGGCATGGGTTGTGCGCCCTTTTCGGCAAACACTTGTTTGAGCTCCCAACACTTCTCGTTGCGCACCTTTATTCCTACGGGCTGTCTGGGAAATATCCCCAGAAACTGACCTCTTGAACACCTGGCTGGAAAAAACGGGGGGTTCTGGAAACAACAACACTTCCGATTCGCGTTCGGTCTTCTTTTGGAAAAAGCAACGCGCATGGACTACGTTTGCACCCAAACGCTGTCAACACTCTAAGCTGCGTTGCGCGCAAATGCCAAGGAACTCATGGAGAAAGTCGGCAGTTGTGGCGTCTTGAGGCTTGCCATCTAAGATGAAGAGGCAAGGCTTCCTGCGATCCTGAGCTCAGGGCGAGAAAGGAGCCCTGGCAGCATTGTAAAAAGGGAACTACCGTCACACTCCCGCATTCACCATCGCAACTTCAACAGTTCCCAAAGAAGATGCCATTGCACTTTTGCAAAGAAAGTTTGGGAGCCGGAGTGGAGCTGGTGAACATGACTTGCGGTTTGGAAACTTGCAACCCGGATGCCCAAACGCCCTCACATACCCCAAACGCCCCCGGAGGTCCCAGCAGCCAAGACTTGCTCCAGCTGCTCCGGCCAGAGCCTCCGCAGCAGCGCCCGCGGGCGCGCCCCCGCGGCGTCCAGGACTGTGGCTTTGGCCTCGGAAAGATTTGCCTAGGGCCCTTGGTGCACCAATGGGCATAGTGCGAAACCAATTCTTGGGTGCTAGGGTCTCCTTCTGACCCTTTAAAAATGGGTCCATGACCCCTTAATTTGGGCAATGACCCCATTTCTTAAGGGACATGGAGAATTCAGGTTGACGTTGGAAGGGGGCATTTGTTTTTCAAATTTTAGCAGTTAAGTGGTTGGATTCCAACCGCCAAACCACAATAAGCAAAAATGTCATGTTGACCCAGAAAAACCAAACAAGTCCCATTATTAGGGGGGTGTTCCCTCCAAAAGTGGTCTGAATCCCCAATAAAAGGGGACGCCCCCCGATCAAAATCAACCAGGGGTTATTTAATCCAGGGTTACCATTAGGCCGAAACCAATTGGAATTTTGTTGATAAGCTTTAAGCCACCTACCAGCTGGTGCCGGATTCTGTCCATCCACAGTATGTTCTTTGCATGTCTCTTTGCTGGTGGATTCACTCAATCATCACCTTTGGTTTTTGTTCAGTGATTGTTTTTTGGAGGCGAACATGCAGGTGGACCCTTTTTTGTGCCTACGTGCCCCGCAGGGCTCCAAGCGGAGCTGTTGTTTTTGGGCGCGGCTTTGTGAGTTGTCAGCAGCAAATCCGTATGGACCTCTATCTTAAAGGAAGTTGCAAGCTTGGAAGGGGCTGCTGTGGAACACCACATGAGCTCCATTCAAAACCCCCGCATACATTTCCATGGAACCCCAACTTCAACTTTCAGGATCTTAGTGTTCTTCGTTGGTGCAAAAAACGGACATGCCTGGTCCTACAACCCAATGAAACCCACAAGAAAGAGCGCAAACCATAGCAACCCTCCAGGTCCCCTACATGACCGTCACAAACGAGAACCCAAACATCACATGCTTGTGTGGAAAAAAGGAACCAGCCTGATCCATACAAACATCTTGAATCCTGGAACCAAACGAAATCACAAAAATACTCTCGCCACATGGAACTCCAACTAGGCAGGCCTTTACTCCCCACCAGAATTCAAACAAACCCAAAACACTAGGCCCGCCTTTCAGGTTTCTCCGCAGACCAATCTTGCAGGGTCCTTCTGCCACCTTTCTGGACCAGTTTTCCATGTCAAGAGGAAATCTCATAAGCCCAAGTCAATCGAAAAAGGACCCTGCGATCCTCCAGAAACATGCCAACCCTGTGGCCAAAGGCCCCTGGCCTCGCCAAAGGCCTCGCCAAAACGCCGGCCTCGTGCACTTTGGCCTCATCTACTTCGAAAATCCGGAGCTGCGGTGGGAGCTGCAAGCCTCAGGCAAAGAACCGAGAGCTGTGATTTGCAGGCCGGACCTGGAGTGGTGCATTGTGGGGTGAAAAACAACAACATGTGTCTTAGCTAGTTTGGTAGATGTTAAAGGGGTTGTGTAATGCACCTGGATTGCGAAAAAAAGGCTCCAGCTGGAAAACTGGAAAGCAAAGAAGCACAGCATCAGAGAACATCAGCGCCACAATATTGCATGTCAAGGGCAACAAGGCCTGGTAGCTGAACCGGCACAGACGAAGCATCTCAAATACACAACCCGGCCCAACCCTTTTGCTACCAGCGGTTGAGGGGAATGGTTGGGCAGAACATGAACATTAGAATTCATCAGGGGCAACGCTCTCAGAACGTAGCTTCGTGTTGCAAGGCTGAAGCGGTCCCTGCTTCAGGGTGAGCGGCTCGCCGGGTAAGAAACCTCGCTGTTTGTCCTCAAAATCATTGGGGTACAAGGCCCTGTTTTGCGGGGGAATGGCCTTGTCTGTGGGGACCGTGTCGTCAAGCATACCTTTGTATATATGGGTACATGTCAAAATTTGGGCACTCCTACAATAGTGCACGTTTTTCCTTTTGGCGTTCTTCGAGGCGGGGTGAAAAGGTGCTCTTAAAACCACATACATAACATTTGTATGTAGGTGTGTGTGTGTGTGGTTTTGACGGTACCTATCTTGGCTTGCTTTTGAGGGGACGCCAAAAAGGAAATCACGCATTTCGGTGGCTCCCCTACTTCATATTTAGACGCACACCTAGCCCATATGTGTATATATATACACACTTGTTTGCGTGTATGCACATGTATTTACATATGTAAATGTGTAAGCGTATATTATGTGTAATCCCGTCCCCCTAATGCTAAACGCCCCCCCAACCCCCCCCCCGAAATACTAACATCGGTTTTAGTATTCGGGGACTGTTTAGCATTAGGAAGAAGGCAATAAAAGAACAAACAAGAAAGAAACAACAAAAAAGTGGGGCTGGGCTTCTCTCGAATTCGCCCAAGCTGCGGAAGGCGCGTGTATCCACGCCGGAGGGCCACAACACCACCTGTCGCACCCGCCTGGCACCAATTGGGACGAGTTTTCATCCGTGGCCCCCAGTCATCCCAATGTGGATGTGGGTCAAAGGTACCACAATGGAACCCTAGTAAATGGAAAAATGAACTAAACCCTGCGGTCCCTGGTGGATTAATTTTGGCCCATAGCCTCATCCCCAATGTGTGTGCGTTTTTTGGGGGAAGGGGGCAGCTTTGCCCTGTAAAATGGTGGGACGGGGTGGCAAAGTTACAAAGTTATAGCGTAAAGGGGATAACTAAACCAGCATGGCCATGTGACTGCCTACTTTCAGCCACCCAGCTGCACATGAGACTTCTATCAGAATGGAGGCTTGTCCCAGGAACGCTCACTTGAAGGGAGACAATGTAATCTTTGGTCTCCGACTTCAAGGCAGCGCTTGTTCAGACACCAACCATGTATCTCTCAAAGGCTCGGGGCACTTGCAAAAAGACAACTGATCCCGAAACGATTCCACAATATACTTCAAAGAAAACGCATGGACTCTGTCCAGTTGATACCAGGCCCCTAAAAGTCAACGGGAAACGGTGTCAATTGCATGGAGCATCCAGCATCCAGCAACTAAGGTCTTCTATGTGCGTCCCTTCTGTGAACATATGGCTCACGTTTAAGCTCATGCTTTGCTTTGACCCACACAATGCCAACCGATGCCTGTGTGACAAACGCACGCTTTGTAACATGCATGTGCGCAGAGACCAAAGAGCGAGTGATCGCATATCAAGTCATGCACATGTACCGAACATGTTTATGGCATGTAGCAGTGAGAATGCCCGAAATCACGTGCACTCGGCAGCTATACAAGCCAGCACCAACATTTCAAGCCCGGGTGCGCCTGCTCGTGTTACTTGTTACCGTATGAGTCGCATTGGTAGCGAAAGGTCGGCTGATGCCAAACACATGTTGCAACTTGGCGGCGCAGTCTCTAAGTGGAGCTCCCTTGCCTAAAGGGAGCCCCCCAAACCCTGTGGCGGTGAGGGGGTGAGCTCGTTGGGTCATGTGGCCTATCATGTTTACGGCGTGCCGGTGCGACTGCATGAGCAACACTCTCAGTCAGCTCGCCCTGCATGGCGATTCTCTTTCGACTGGCTTAAACAAATGAACACCAACTTCCAGGACACCCCCATGGCCGGCAAATGGTCTGTGAAATGACCTCCCAATGGCTGGTTTGGGGTTATTTGCCAGCCATTGGGGGGGCCTTGTTGAGCCATTTGCGGAACCTCGTAAAGAACCCACAGGCCGGCACAAGGCGACGACTGCCAGACTGCCCAAAGAAACGGAGCGAGGCGCTTGGAGACAGAATCCAGCAAGAGGCGGTCCACAAAGGCAGTGTGCGTCACAGCCACGGCCTCCTCTGAGGACTGAGATCATGCCATACAAAATGGTAGGGGAACGCGAAACAAAGCAAACGTGGAGACATGCCTATGATTAAATGCTCAACGTGGCTATCAATCAAATGCTCAATGTCACTTTGGGGTGGGGCATTATGGCATTGCTCCGGCACAGCAACCTAGCTCTGGATCTCTCACTTACCAAGCGTAGGGGGAGCCAACCTGTTATGATCTAGGGAATGGCTATACCGCAGGAACCATGCCGGCGGGAATAAGTAGCCATACGGGCTTCCAATTAGGACTGCCTCTCAAGCAATTATGCCACATCCCCGATCTCGGCAAAACTGGACGTGTGGACACTTTCCGGATAGAGTATAGAACAATGCCGGAACACAATTGACAAATCTTGAAAAAACACATGCATACAATGTCCCAAGCAGACCAACTCGGTCGTGTGTGAGTCTGGTTAAATCTGGTTAAGCCACCGTGACGTGGCCAAACACACAGCTTGGACACCTCGCGTTCAACGGGAACGAAGAAGCCATGCAAAGCAGCAAACAGGAAGCCACTGCGAGATCCGCGAATTTCTGGGAAATCGCACCTTGGTTTTGCCCGCACACGCAGCATCTATTTCTCTAAAGCAACAAAACTCCATCAATGCCAGTAGAAGAAGCTGCCAAGTTTGGCTGTTGTCAACCGCCCATGGTGATCGACAGCTTGCCGTGTGGGGAACCAAGGTCTGCAAAACGGGGACTTTGGTTGACTTGCTTCTCCATTCTTCCGTTCATGAGCTAATCTCACTTCCTGAGTGTGAATGCAAAACAGTGTTAACCTGAAAAAGCGCAATTTTGGAGAATAGCTCATGGCTCGAGTTTTTCGCGGCACACTAGTCCCCGTCATTTTGGCTAATCCGCGTGTGGCTTTGGAACTCTTGTTTGCCTACGCACTGCACATCCTTGTCAAACTCTCAACAGTATCTCCTAAACCGACATCCTCGACCCAACTAGGAAAATGAAATATAAGTATGATTAGTACCTGGTTCATTGCCATGAGTTGAAGTTGGCTCATTTGCCATACCCTATACCTCACAGAGACGCTCTTGCCGGGTCCTTTCCGGGAGAAAGCCCTCAAGTAGGAATGGCCTTCAAAAGTAGACAGTCAGACCGAGTACATGCACACCAGAGTGCGCAACAAGGCACGCTGAATGTATGCCCACGCTTTGTATCGCTTGCATCATGCAGGATGGACATTCCCTCGGAGAAAACCCACCAATGGGACTGAACCGGCACGGTAGCCTTGCCCCTTTCCAACAACAAACAGCGTTCACAATGACATGAGCTGTAAGGTGCTGAATGACAAAGCGAATCGGCAGACTATACCTATCAATAGCGTGTCACGATGAACTTTCGAGGCCCGGTCTGTTCAAACAACGGCTCTAAGAAGGCCATGGAAGGGCCTTCTCAGGAATAGGGTACATGAGGATCTATTCTCTTGACCAGTTGAGACGGCCGTTCATTAAGTGGAAGCAACTGGACAATGTACGGCTCCTATTTTCGTCCAAGAAGGGAGTTGGATCCACTGAGAAACCGAGTGTTGTTTTTTGGGCTTGGTTTGGCTCAAACCAAGCCACAAATGGACACCACCCTGATGTTCTTGCGCCTCCTGCGTCTCAGCGGTCTCGGCCAACTGCCTTTCCGCGTCAGACAGCAACGCATCCGACAGCAGGCAGGCGAAGGGGTCCTGGACAAGCCTCAGGCTTCCCGGTACAGTGACCCGAGACGCGCAAATACGACAAGCTTCCGGAAATTGCATAAGCCACGGAACCAAAGACGCTGAAACTTGTTGCATGGATGCTGGCAAATTTGGTGTGGCCCCCCTTATATGCAAGATCAAAAAGGGGGCTTCTCAAAAAAACGATCCCTATAGGAAAATGGTCAACATGGCCGCCCACATACTGGCATTACACTGCTTGGATGGCAACCCTTCTCGGTGCTTGCGTACAACGGAGCCGCCAGAAGGCCCCTTGAAGAGCAAACTGGTTTTTTCAAGGGCCACCACTCAGCCTCCATGTTAGTGAGGGAGGTCAACTTGACAAGCTCCCATATGAATTCTGCCCATTGCAAAGCATGTCAACACCGAGTACGCTTTTTCAGGCTAGTGTCCTGCGTACATTTATCTAAGTGGTCCTAGATTTCGAACAATCTAAGACCTACAAAAGAAAAATCCAAACCTGATATATTATCGTTACAACCCCCTTGAAGATCTCCCAAAAAGGAGTACCCTCCCCACCAATTACTATGAAACCTGACGTTCGGCACCCGGTCCCATCCGGCTGGCTCAAGGCGCGGCTTCTGGCGCTGGGACTCGCGGCAAAGCCAGAAGGCCCCGCGGGCGAAGCTGGCGCGCCGCGGCAGCGCCCTGCGGTGGTGCCGCGAAAAGAACTCAAGGAGTTGGCGAAACGGGGGATCGTTGGTTGGTTGGTTAATTGGGTGGGCTGGTGGATGGTAGCACTTTGGGTACCGGGCCACCGCTCTGCTCTTGGGGTTCTAGCTGGCTAACGAATGCAGCCAAGATGAGTCAAGCGACAAATGATCAGCGTGAAGACCGTCAGCGACAACAAACAAACAAAAAGGATATGTGAAAAGCGAGCAGAGGAGAGCAGCGCTTGGAGGAGCCACATGCAGGAGTATTCAGCCAAGGGTAGGAGAGGAGCGCAGGCCGAACAAGGAGAGCATCGCTTGGCCACCAAGAACGAGGCCAAAGGCATGCGCCCTGGAGCCAGTTAAAAAAACGCAGTTACGCTTGCAAGCGCAGCAGCCACCCCGGTCCACAGCTGCCATCCTGCCACTCGATGCAGCACTAGCATTCACTTACACTTTCGGGCCGGCAGCAGCATGACTAAAAGCATTCACTAACATTCTTCGCTACCATTCACTACCTTGCCAGGAATGCCCGTCCTGTGCTTATGTACAACTTTTGAAACTAGCTCTATGGGCGTTTGCCAGTCATTCGTGGAGCTTTCAAGCAACTTGCTCCCGAGCGGTATAGAAGGACCATTCCAGCACAAAGCACTTTTTGCTTCAAGGGACATGTCGATGCTGATGGATTAAGCATGAGACGGGCATCGTGGTCCCCATCAGTTCTGCGGGCATTGCTGATTTCGCGAACACGCGCACTGAATGCAACCGGTGCTTTTATATGAGTGCTTTTTGAGGCCAACAGAGGGGAGTACGCGTCTCTAGGGCCAGCCAGCAGGTTCACCCAGGCGGTGTGCACATCAAGAGCTTAACCGCACAAGGTCCACATGGAGATGGAAGTGATTAGAAAGAGTCTTGCTCAGCCTGTCTGACCCCGCAACACTTCAGCACGTACATGCATACTTTCCTCTTGGGTAAAGGTTTCTTCTTGTCCATGCTACCGCTTAGGCTCTCCGCAACATCGCGTAGGAAGACATCATCCGCAGGGCGATGCGACAACAAAAAACCCGCCTCCACATCGCTCTCTTTGAGGAGCCGCCACCACAGACCCGTGACCGCACGTCAAGTTTTTGCGGATTTCAACTGAGCACCCGCGGTGGGGTGTACATCGGGTTAATAGGGGATTTGACGACAGCAAGTAAAAGCTACCTGCCGTCTTTCGGCTTCCTTTCTGGGGACTCAAACATATAGGCTACTAAGCACCCAGCGAAAAGAGCAGAAAGCTTGCTGCAACCACATCTCTGAACTCCATGCCTGCACTGCGTGCCTACGCAGTATGGCTAGATCTGTGGCTCCGTCTTGGGCCAGCTGCGGCTGAGTCAGGTGAGTTATGGGTGTGGATTTTGATGGACCCTTTGCAAGGTAGGGGATTCATGTCACCACTTTCGAGGTGGCAACCGCGATTCAAAAAAGAGCCATAGCCATATGATTAAATCTTGGTACCAAAAATGGTCGACCACCAAAACCATTCTGGTCGGGATTGTGCCCAATCCACCAGAGAAACGTTTGAGTTTGCTTGCAGGAACCCGGTCCCCTGTTGGGACAGGGAGGGTAGACTCCGGCACTTCATCCCTCACTCACACCTGGTGCGTGCGTCGTTCGCCCTTCCAAAAGCAAACTGATATCAGCAAACAAGGAGACGGCCCCCTCATGGTGAAACTCGATCTTTCAAATCGTTGGATCCTAAACATCAAGTCTAAGGATTCTCAGGGGCCTACCTTTCCAGCAACATTGCGCGGTTTAATGATTAATGTGTTTTCATGTCCTTTCCAGAGGCACTACTTCAGAGCCAACAGTTTCTAATTCACCCACTTCCAGCATCACAATGGCCACTAGCCGCTCAATGCCTGGGGCCCTCTGCAAACTTCCTCCTGTGCTCCGGGTCGTGGTTGTAGCAGGCCGCGCCTCAGGTAGTTGCCGTGCACCGCACATGTGGGGTGTCCCGGGCCTTCAATGTTCCAGCCAACTGGGGCAAAACAAGGCAATAGGGTGTACTTTGCAGCAAATTGAACAAGAATCTGAGATCATCTCAAACCTGAAAACAGGCGGGCAAGGATCTCCACCTCACCCAGGCCCGACCCACATGATTCCATAGGTTGTGGGGACAATGTAAGCAAGCAAGCCTTCACGCACATCCTGGCATGGGCTGGTCTGCAACATGTAAATAATACAGTGTGTCTCACCTCAAGACATATATATATATTTATATACATAAATATACATATATATATATATATGTATATATCTGGCTGTGGGTTAAGAACAGGTAGCCAAAAATGGAACCCTGGTAAGTGGGAACCTGCGCTAACACCTGCAAGTTCCAGGTGGTTTAATTTTTCGACCCATGCCCATATCCGAACTCCTCAAAATGAGATGCCAGCGTAGTGCCCAACCCTCTTTGTGCCTCCAGAAAAATCTGGCGAAGGGTTCTGAGAACCTTTCTGAGGGTGACATAAAAGACTAAATTAGCTCGACTGGATTGGGAGGTACTACTTGGAGACCAATTTTGCCATGAGTATCGGAGGAAACTATCAAAAGCTATTCTGGCGACCCTTACTTGGTCTTTAGGATTGGTGGTTTGGATTTGGATTTGAGGGAAAATGGGAAACCCCTTAGCCACCAAATCACCAAACCACTAGTTAGAGGGAAACTATAAGTTATGAAGCTCCTCATGTTGCCCAAGCCCGGGGCAAAGACAAAAGTTGAAGCCAAAGCCGAGGCCGTGGCCCCACTTGCAAGGCATGCCGCTGGCGCTGCCGACCTGTGGCTGGGCATGTTCAACCATAGGCATTGGACCACCCTCAGAAAAAAAACAACTGATGTCCGGTTTACAGAAATTTGCGCGAGATCTTGCCAAGAACAACAAGCGCTGTCGATTCATTGCAGTAACTTGTGTTGGTTTCGTGTTGTTTTTGATCTAAGCACATCCAGGGGCTACCATATGTTTGCGCAATCCCATGTGTTGCAACAGAAAGCAACTTGCCCGGGGTCCCTGTCTCTGCTGGCTGAATCTGGGCGGTCCTTGTTGGACGGACCAATCTTACATTATTTTCTTGAAGAGGTGCAGTTGTCCAGTAAGATGGCTTGGAAAATTAGAGGATTCGCGGAAAACGAGCCAACCGCAAAATAAGAACACATGGGGCTACTAAACATTGTTGCATGATTCTAGGCTCTCCAGTGGAGAGATTAGAATAAGGGTTCCCTTTTTTCTGTAGTCTCTTGTAGTAGGGGAACCCTCCCCCGAAAAAGGGCAAAAGGGCACTACTGGAAGACCTAGGATTGGAATTCAAGCAACGCCCACGGTAAAAGGAGCAGCCTCTGAAGCCACCGAGTCGCAGATAAGCGGTGGTCTTTGCCATCAGACCCACTTCCAGCAGCATAGCCAGCAGCATATCCGCCCACTGGAAAACCTATCAGGCGTCATGGGGCGAGAGGGGGTGGTCCGAAGGAACTGAAACAACCGGATAATACCCTTGTGGGTCTTCTTCAAGAACCGCCTTTTGCTTTTCCTAGCAAATGTCATATCGCTTGGCTATGTCGCAGGTATTGGAAGCGGCGGTGAACAACTGTGGCTAGGCTTAACTCGTAACAGCATAGCCATGGGGCTCTCAAAGTATGTCGTTTCGGGGTGATGGCCCTCAAAGAATAGCTTGCGGTTGGCCAAGCGATGCTTTTTCCGGGATTGGCTTCGGCATGATGATAGCAGTCAGGCCCGGCTATTCCAAATGCGCAAGCACATTCTTGGACAACATATTCAACCCCGAAGACATTGGGCTTGACAAACGCCTCCCTGGTGATGACCGGCCCCAAGCAATGGCCGGTTGTAGAAAGCAAAGCTCAATATCGACCGGCCCCAACTAGTTTCCTGCAATTGGGTCCAATATCGACTCCGGATAAATCGAGGGATGTTTTTTTCTCCAGGGAAGGATCCCCTGAAACGGGACTCGATTCACAACCCAGTGGATACTCACTTGCAAACTCTACAATTCCAAAAGCAGGTATGCTCAAGGCCTCCATGAACTTGCTCGTGTGAGCCGAGATGTGTGAGCTCGACACCCATATTGGCAGAGTAGTTCCGAGGCAAGAATCCTAACCTTGGCCTAGCTCTGCAAGTCATGTGTTCTGATCATGCTCCACAATATGGGGGTTGTCCTATATTCCTTTGCCCGGGATTGGGCCCTTGGGCCGCACTTGCGCGGACTTGCGCGCGCACAGTGGCGCAAGAAACTCGTTTTCGTCGACCTCGGTTTACGAAGTTTTCGTGTGGATTGCGCGCAAGCTTTTCTAAGCAGTGTGATTGTCGTTCGCACAGCAACCCACAAAGACTCTTCCCGGTGAGGTCGCTCCCGGCAGTTCAACGCCAGCAACACTCCCTTGACCCAACAGAAAGGATAGCAGGCTCTGCCACACAGCTTGGACACAGCCTGAAATAAGGAAAGTGCATGTTGCGGGTGCCTATCCATTGCTTGAACCGCGCCGCTAAGGACATCCGAGACAGCATGGCTAGATGTCTTGCTGGACCTTCTCAGGTCTCGTGCTTGCGTGCAACTTGCGCGCGGCTTGCGCGCGGCTTGCGCAGATTTTGTCGTGTCAGTTGCTGATTGTGGAAGTCATGACCGCAGAAGCTTTGGCTTCGTTTGGCGTCTGACTGAAGAAAACACCGCACCTTTGCAAACAAGCTTGTGACCTACACATGACCCAGGCAACATTTGAAAAGCACAAGTACAGCAAGAAGATATCACCTCCTTTCATGAAGCTAGGCAACATCAGTACATGAAACCCTTCAAAACTGTAACATTGTGCGTCCCTTGGGCCGCACTTGCGCGCTCCTTGTGCGCGCACAGCTTTTGACAACTTTTACTTCTCCCCGTTCGGCGATAATTAAAACCGAAGACTTGGGTTTTAGGACGGCCCTCATATGGCCTCAAACACACGTTTCTTTCGAGACCCCACCATCCAAAATCTGCCCCTTTAATCTCTGGCTATCTGTCCTTTTCGGAGGTAGGTCCCAAGGTCACTTCACTATTCCCCTCCACTTACATCCCCCAAAGTACAGCGATAGATCCTGGCTAATCCTCGCCGGCCTGGCACTGTGGGAGCAGAGGCCGGGATCCCAGGCGTAAACCTGGCAGCTTGCCGCGGAAATTCTTTTCAAGCCGGCGAGTTATGGGCGGGCACTGGCTTTCAGTGATAGGATCGCCAAGCTCCAGGTGAGCTCGCCGTAGAATAGGCAGTTTGAATGGTAAAAGATGTGCTCTAGATGTTCAACATGACCCTCTGAGCAGACGGGAAGCAACCGCCACTTCAGCCAGGAGAAGTGAATGAAGCTGTTCTTGACATCAGTGCACATGCCACTGGCGGCATGGAGTGTGTCAAACAACATGTGGGGCCAGCAGAGGAATGGAGAGTTAGCAGTGCCTGGTGTGCATGTTTAAACACGCTTCTGCTTTACCCATTTAAATCTAAGCGTTGAAGGCGCGCGGGGCCTACTCGAAAACAGGCCCAATGGCCACCTAACTTCTCCCACACCCCCTCATCCCGCGGCAATGCAGGGCAAGTTTGCCGCACAAAGGTAAAACATAAATCATGTTCTGTGCGCGTGAAGAATTGTAACAACGGAAGCGCTATGCCAGCCGGTGTTGCGCATGCGACCAAAACAGCCCCGCCCCCTCCCTCCCCCTTGGTCCCGCAAGGGTGCAGGTCGATCAAGCGAAAAACAGATGTTCCTCAAATACCGGTACAACCGGGTACAACCCAAATAATTTGCACAAGGTGCTCCGGTTGACGCAAATCCTGAATTTGGAGGCTTCATGTTGGCCCCCTTCCTTTGACATGGTGGCAACATGGGGCAAGTTGTCTGAGCATGTAGAGCACGCCCTAGGAGCCTAAGAGCGCTGCCATGCTTCCCTTGCCTGTTTCCTCGACGTTCCCCGCTCGGGCAGGAAACTATCAGGTCTTAGGCCTTAGGTGACGCATTGTTGCTTTTGACAACCACCAAGAATTCCAGTATCAAGAGCTAGCACGCTCCCAAGCACGAAGCAAAACCGAATCGTATCGGAGCCAAGGCACCACCAAGCCCCATCAAGCCCTCTTGCTTTGGCCCTGAAGGCCCATAGACGGAACAAAACGGTGGCCGAGCCAACCAAGAGGTCAACGGCATCGGACCCCGCTAAGTGCGTCCACGCCTTGCAACTAAGCAGCTCTGGCAGAGGTGAAAGCCGCATCGCTTGCAGCTATACCTAACGGCAAGGCAACGGAGAAGACCGGCTCCCCCAAAGCAGAGAGCCCTCGAAAATAACGAGCACCGCACGCGCACAAATGTTCAAGTTCTTCCCTGGACGGTAATTATGGCGGTTCTAGCCAACCGCATCCCATTGGTTGCCCAAAACCAGCTGCAGTCTTCACAGGACCTCAGATCTTTGCACCGCCCTCATGGATCTTCAGGCGTTCAGCCGCGAAACAAGAGGTAGGGCAATGCGCACTTGCAATCATTAGGCATGACTTGCTAGGGACACCGGTGCAGTGGGCCAATTTCATGTTACCCTCCCCCGAGTGAAGGCGCACTTTAATAACGGCAACCAACATACCTGAACACTAATAAATCAAGGGCCGCTTCAGCGCTACAGACACAAAAAGCACGTTGCAGAGGCCTCCACCAACGAAGGGTGGATGCAGAGCACACTCCCCCCGCCCCAATTCGGTGAGAATGATTCTTCGGGTGTTGCGCCCACCTGGCCCCTTGCCAATGTCTTTCGTCAGCTGTCGAAAAGGAAGATCTTCAGTATGCTTCGAAAGGAAACAAACATGCGGGTTGGGTTGGGACATCTATGAGCCGGTTTCCAGCTCATACGGGTCTGTCTCAAAATTGAAAACCGCCAAAATGGATGGCTTCCAGTGCCCTGCCTCTTGTGGCCCACATGCAGCCCACGACTGCACCTGCCAGAGGCCAGTCCGCAGCACTATTGGAATGCCCGACATGGAAAACAAGACCGGCCAGGCTGCCTACTGTTCCCTGATGTTGACCCCATATTTTTTCTCAGTTCCAGCTAATTAATAGGATGGTTTCCCTGGATATTAGCGGCGAATCATCAATTTTGCAGGAAGCCACCCCAGGACACTCCAGGGAGCAACACTCAAACTCGCAGCAGAGGAATTGTGATGCGAAGCCGTACGTGATGTTTGTGGAAGGTCCTTTCTCTTGTGGGGCATGGCATGACCGCGGTTATCAAATCATCATGAGGGCCCCCATTCTATTGGTTGGTACCCTTGTCCCCTTTTTTAAAAAAGAGACAAACAAACCTGAAGATCCCACACACAAAAGCACCCCGAACATATTCCTGGAGTGCCCATTAAGTTGGTTGACGTTGGAAGGGGAGCAAAAATATTTTTTAGCAGTCAAGTAGTTGAATTTCAACCACTACACCACAATAAGCAAACATGTGAAATGTTTCCCAACAACAACCATGTTAAGAGGTTTCCAGGGTCTGACCTTTCGGTTCGGGCCCGTAAGAGGGCAACCTGAGCCAGCGGCGTGACCTTGCACCGGTAAAAACGGCCCCTGTTTTAGACTCCGAACAGAACTGGTTGCTTCACCGGTGCGCGAATATCCAAGGATTTTTCACCAACGATCAAGGAACCTCCCGTTGAACCCAAGTGGATGGTCCCCAAACAGAACAGTTGTTTGTTAACGGTGAAAGATGGGTGTGAGATTTTGAGGCCCAACCATCCCTGGTTCCCAAAACCTCCCCCTAGGCCCATGGCTCAGAGCAGCGTTTGTCGAGAAACTCGAAGAAGCTTCCTCTTCCGGTGACCTGAGATCCACCCAAACCCAGGTTGCTTCTACCATGGCTCTAGAGTGTTTAAAGGTTGATAAAGCCCTGGTAACCCAGATGACCCCCTGTGCTGAAACGGCTGGTTTTCTACCCTCGTTCTCACAGAAGAACACGGAAGTGAGGCCAACACACTTGTTGCTCGCCAGCGAAAGGTCCAGGAACTCAGCAAGGGATGGAGAGACTGCTTTCACCTTGAGAAGGCCGGGGGCCACTGGTGTTACCCCAGGGCAAGACAATGCCGCTGGTAGAATTCACATGCCCTGCCTCCACTGCAGGTTGGCTTGGTTTGGCCGGTGGTCTTCCACCTCCTTTCAGGCTTGTCCTAAAGGGGCCCTTGAGAAGAGAAGGCGGTCTCTCTTGCCAGCCACCCAAATCAAATCACCCAAAATGATCCACCAAAGGGAGCTATCAATGGGTTTGCGCGCAGTTTGCCTGAGGCGTTGAACTGCAGGATGACAAACATGGGACCGGCAGCCCAATCCATTGGCTGGCTTGTGGTTGGATTCCCTTGTTTCTTGTTAAAAAAGCCCTTCAGAAAAGGTACCATCAAACAACAAGACACCCCGCAGGTCAGTCAGGGACCACGAAGCCCGCCGAGGTTCCACGCTGTTCTTTCTTCGAGCGCGTGGCCGTGGGGACACCTTGCCCAAAAACCGCCGAAGCAGGTGGAGCAAACGGGTGTCAATGAGCAGGATCCCTTACAAAATGCATGTGGGCCAGTAATTTTACCAACTGAAATGTAGACCAGGTAGTTCCTGGATGCATGCTCTATAAGCAACCCTGGATAACCCTGGTCTACGAGTGGCAAGGGTCGTTGAGTGTGGCTCGCATTTGAGATAAGAGCGCATCTTCAAAAACAGAACTGCGACCAATGAATCGCTGAACACCTCAATGAAGACCCTTGGCTGGTGCCACACAGGTAGGATCAAAGGGCCCGAGGTCAAGAAGCTTCTTTACAGGAATCCCCTGGATGGCCATCCCGTCCTGCAAATCAAACCATCTGACCTGCGCCTTTCATTCCGAAGCTCTTCTTTTCAACCAAGCCCTTGAAAGACAGGGTTGGCCTGGGCGGTCATAATTGCCGAATGTGGACAATTGACGGTCTATAACGGGCCACTGACCCCATGCCAGGCATCCAAAACAAAAACAAACCGGTTCCCGCTAGCAGCATTCATGCAACTTGCTCCTCTCGGCATGAGGTTACTCAGTTTGCTCCAAGGTGAGCTCGCTATGATTGGTGTAAGCAATATGTGCCTTCTCTGCAGGTCCCCTTTTCCTAGTCTTAGAGAGGCACGCTAGGATGGTGTGTAATTTGAGCCTAGTGGGGAAGCAATCCGATTTAGAGTCGAATTCCTCCCACTAAATTTCCGTCGGGTTCATCCAACGACAACACTGCCTTAATCAGAAGCTGAGCCCCCGGGCACTGCCATGCCAATCTGTCACTCACCGAGCCATGGCTCGATCCGAGCAGGATCTGATGGCCGGGTTGCACACCGGTGGCGTTGGCTTTGTTTCTCGAAAAGGCGCTTCTGGAAAACGTGCGTGCGCAAGAAGCAAAACACGCAACGCGACAAACGCATGGCCTCGCAAAAGGGGTCCTGCATATTGCTACTGTACTGCGGCGTCTGAGCAACGGCAGCATGAGGTGGGATCTTGGTTGACGTTGGAAGGAGAGCAACAAAAATCAAGTTTGAGCAGTTAAGTGGGGATTTCCCACTAAGCCACAATAAGCAAAATGCAAAATGTTTCCCAACAACAACCATGCGATTAGCACAAGAGTACGGCACCACCTTTGGCTGAATGCTTGCAACCGGTCTGACATAACAAAACGAAACCAAATCGACTCGTGAATGATGGACCTTCGTGGAGCCTACCGTGGTGACCCATGCTTTTGCCTGAATATGTTTCATGATGTTTCATGGCTTCAGTACGTTTCTTTTGCGATTCACATGTACGAAATCAATACAACTTCCCAGACCTGGATCTTCTTCCAAATCATGGAAATTTAGCGCAAAATCCGGAGACTGCCACCTTGTTTAAGGGTTTCGGTGAAAAAGCAGAGAGTTTTTTAAACTCCTAGTTTTTGGGGCTACAGATTAATTGCGACAGTAACCAGGGTTTTTTGCACCAGCGAGTATTTTTTCACTGTTGAGGAGTGGGTATTTTGCCTTTGCCAGGCCTGAGTTTTATGCGACGGCTAGGCGGGTTGTTTGCATCATGCTTCTGGGTTTTCTGCACTGGCAGGGCTTCTGCAACGGACAAGTGGTTTTTTGCAACAGCTGTCGCAATTTACTTGTGTTTGCAGAGCGCAGGCCAAAAGCGAGTTTTTTGCAACGCCGGATGGGTTTTGTTGCAGCAGTGCGCGCCACGTTTTTGGGCCAAACCCCGGGTTTCGATTCCTCCCTGGTACGCGCGGCTGAAAAACAGAAAGCATGAAAGAGTTCAACCAGAAGTGCCGACGAGAAGTGAGCAAAGTGCCAGCGGCTGTATGTTTTTGCCCTCAGCGTGCACATCATGGATTCGATTACCCCTGGAGTCGGACTGCAACCTAATCATAGAACAAAGGACTTGCATTTCATGTTTATGATGAGGAGCCTTCGTGGACACTTTCAGGCTATAAATAGAACAAGTCTGACCATGGGTGAAACATGGTGAAACGTTTGTGCGAATCTCTCACTTCGACCTGCGAACAGCAAAGTGTCAAGCTCAAGTCAAGCATCTTGCGGCAGCCAAACAACCATACGATGCTACAGGCATGAGCTTGCACTATTCTTGTTTAGGGTAATTCATGCAGTCTGGGTATGCGTGTTCAAAGCGCGCCTTCCGTGTAGCAGTGCCAGGGCGACATCGTTTGCGTGGCGGCTCAGCAGCACTTTTCGGACGACCTCCGCGGCGCTTATGCTGTGGAACTCTGCAGGCCGCCCAGCCAATATGAGGCTCTTGCAAAAGTATATATATATATATATATATATATGTGTGTGTGTGTGTGTGTGTGCGTGTGTGTTCGCACTGTGTGTGCACTGCTGATGCGAGCAAGTGCATCGCCACCCTCGTCACGCGTCGGTCGCAGCGAACGTATGCAATGGAATCAAAGAAGTCTAAGTGTTGCGTCACTGCAAAGTCCAAGTTTGGTTGTCCAGCAGCCCAGCTCGTTTGATCAAGTAACGAAGTGCTTCCCCAGCCGACCTTAGCATTTGGAGGCCGAGAACAGCGGACTGCTGGTTGAGAGGCAGATCCTGCGCTGTTGCCGCCATTGCGATCCGCCTTCAGCATGGCTTATGAAAACATCTTGAGGCGTCACGCGGGTGAATTCTGTGGCAGTAGTGCGACTAGCGCGTCGCAAGGCGGCTCCGTTGATCAAGGCTGGATCTTGCGCAGCGGGTGTAAAGGACAAAGTATCCGAGCCGTCCCACCCAAACCATGCCGCCCAATGTCTGGAGTACAAAGTTTGCATGCGCTGCGAAAAAACCTCTCCTTTGCCACCCAAACTGTCCAGCTCACGCTGCCAAGAAGCGTGTAGTGCCTCGGCGGGCTCGCTGCCGGTGCCGGACCCAGCAACAATGCCAATTCCGGACCAAAAGCTGACATATGTAGAAGACTTCTCATCTGAGCCATGTTTGTCGCGCAAAGAGAGCTGGCGCAGCCAGTCTTTCAAGGCGATCTCTTGATCATTCTTGTTCATGATCATGGGGGGGCTGCGCCCCCCCGCACCCCCCCGCCTATGTTTGGCGAAGCCCGACATTTTTCGTCGTTCTTGTTCAGTCTTGTTCTATCATGGGGGGGGCTGCCCCCCCCCCCCCCAACCCCCCCGCCTATGTTTGGCGAAGCCCGACGTTTTTCGTCGTTCTTGTTCAGTCTTGTCTATCATGGGGGGCTGCGCCCCCCCCCCCAACCCCCGCGCCCATGCTTGGCAAAGCCCGACGTTTTTCGTCGTCCTTGTTCAGTCTTGTTCTATCATGGGGGGGGCTGCGCCCCCCCCCAACCCCGCCGCCTATGTTTGGCGAAGCCCGACGTTTTTCGTCGTTCTTGTTCAGTCTTGTTCTATCATGAGGCGGGGGGGGGGCAGCCCCCCCCCAACCCCCCCGCCTATGATTGGCAAAGCCCGACGTTTTTCGTTGTTTTTGTTCAGTCGTGTTCTATCATGGGGGGGGGGGCAGGCCCCCCCACCCCCCTGCCTATCTTTGGCGAAGCCCGACGTTTTTCCTATCATGGGGCGGGGCTCCCCCCCCCCCCAAGGGGGCTGTGCCCCCAACCCCCCGCGCCTATGTTTGGCGAAGCGCGACGTCAGCCTTGACTTGAACGCGCTGCTTTCTCCTCACAGCTGGCCATCTTCACTTTCGCGCGCCACCTTGCCTTTCATGGCTGAAGCGCAAATCCAAACGTAGGCCAAACCTTGCATGCGCAAAATGCCAACTGGCGCGCAAAACTCAGCTAGTGCAAAAAACTCGCTCACTGGTGCAAAAAATCCGCCCGCTGGTGCAAAAAACCCTACAGTACCAGGTACAAAATACCCTTGAAACTGACTGAAAAGACCCAACAAGGTGAAAAAAACCCTTGTTACTGTCGCAATTAACCCCAACCCCTAGTTTTTGAGGTAACACTCCTACAAGTTGATATCGTCACGCCTGGACATGGGCTTGCACACCTGAAAAAAAACAAATTGCAAAATCCTCCGAAACTGGACGCAAGGAGCCCTCCAATTCAGATTCAGCATCAGGATCAATTCAACATGTGCGCCTTTGGATGACACATTGGCAAAACCGGAAAACACCCCACCCCCGACACTCAGGGCAAAAAACCTTGCAAACAACCGACAATCAAAAAACGGCGGAGTTTCCGGAGAGTGCATGTTCAGTAAAAGCAGTGGAATACCCACTCGATCGCAGAGAGTTGCATACTTGATGGGATAGTGCACCGAGTTGAATGATTGCAAACAACGAACAAAGAAAACAGACTTGTTTCCAATTGTTTCCCCCAAGACCCCTCCTAGTTTGTTATGTTCACTCCTGCTCTTGCAATCCACTCCTGCTTTTTCATTCATGCAAAGAAATAACTCGGAGATGGAGGACCCAGGCTTGCTTTTACACGGTAAGCCCTCCCCCGCCCTCCCTCCTCCAAAAAACGCAAAATTATCCCACCCGAAAGTAGGGGGTGCCGGAAATCGAAAAGCGGACCATAAAGCAAAAAACTCGCATATGTTACTTAACAATTAAGCTTGTTTTACGGTTTGTGACTTACGAGTTCGGGGCGAGAACCTCCCCCGGCGTAACACAAACAAAAATGCCAGTCAGACCAAAATCGCACCAAAATCGTGAAACTCAAGGGGGTTCCCTTCACAAGCCTACCAGCTTCTTGCCAGCAGGCTGCGAGAAGCTTGCGCCGGAAATGCTCAGAAAGGAATATCCAGAAACATGCGGTTTTAAGCTCTGTGTGCTTCGACCGGGGGGATGGCTAGGGAGCCCAAGTGGGAAGATATCAGAACAGCCGCTCAAAGTCGTAGGGGCTTTGGCTTGGGAGCATGTCATGAATCCTCACCAACCGGTTCTAACAAACCTGAACAACTAGGTCCTCCAGTAGAGAGGTTAAAATAAGGGTACCAACTTTTTTCTGTAGTCTATTTTAGTAGGGGAACCCTCCCAACCAAAAAAGGGTGAGAGA